GCGGCAATGAAGGAGTGAAAGCCCAGAATCCCTGTGAATGTTCATTGAAACTAATAAAATTTAATAAAAATTTAAAAAAATCTATTTCTGATTTCTATTACCTCTTCTTATAAGCCTTTTCACTTATTAAATGTCAACAAGAGTACTTAAGGAAGTGCTTTACTCTGACAGAGTAAATTTCCTGAGCTCATCTTAAAGGTCATCCTATGAGATATTCTCTCAATAACACCTTTCCTGATCAAGGAGGTCACTCCAAATGTAGTTTTGTTTTATTGTTGGTTTTTTTTACAAATGTAGTTTTATGTACACTTTAACTTGTACCTTTATATACAGTAAAAGCACCTGTACTACATGTCTTACCTTACTTAATTTTCTCAAGGACAATGATTGTATTTTTCCTATATGCTGTATAACTTATGGTCTTTTCAATCACTTCCTGTGCATCTGAAAGTGGACAACGAATAAAGAAGAAGAAAAAGCAAAGCTTTTGAACTACAGTGTTGGAAAAGAATACTGAATATCCATGGTCTGCCCAAAGAACAAACAGATATATCTTAGAGGAAGTACAACTTGGGTGTGTTCCTTAGAAACCAAGATGGTCAAATTTAGTCTCCCACACTTCAATAAGTTGTCAGAAGGGGTCAGTCCTTAGAAAAAGACATCATGATAGGAAAGGTGGACGGTCAGAGAAAAAGAAAGGTCTTCAAACAAGATGTATTAATACAGAGACTGTTATGATGGGCTCAAGCATATCAGAGATGGGGAGGAAGCTACAGAATAAGGCAAAGTTCCTATCTGTTGTTCACAGAATTGCTATGAGTTGTGGGTTGATGGCACACAACAGTAACATACTTAGGGACTCAAAAAATGGTCTACAAACTGCCTTACATGCTGATGAAGTCTGTATAAAACACACTCTGTCACTTTCTAGTAGTGAGGCTGCAAACAAATTACCATGCCTTTATTTCTTCATCTGTAAAAAACCAACATCATTTGTCTCCTTCATAAATATTTCATACAAATCAAGGTAAGAAACAATATTTTTAAAATTCAGTACATCAAAGAAGAAATATGTTTGGGAAAGCATACATATATAACAAAATCACGGAATTGTCTTTAATTCTTAAAAACATCAGGTAGATCTACATGTTCTAAGAGAAAGACTTCCAAAATATATCACTAAATAGGAAGTTCCAGAATCAAAGATTGTTGTGTATATATATTCATGTGTATACATATACACGTATGTTGTTGTTTGTTATGTGCCATCAAGTCGCCTGCAACTTATAGCGACCCTATGTACCACAGCCCTAAACCCTGCTCTATCCTGTGCCAATCGCACTGTCTCCGACACACCCACCCTGATTACCGCAGTCACTGAATCAATCCACCTCAGAGGGTCTTCCTCTCCTGCTCTGTGCCTCCACCCTCCCAAGAATGACATCCTTCTCCAAGGACTGGTCCCTCCTTGCAACATGTCCAAAGCATGTCAGGCGAAGCTTCAGAATCCTTGCCTCCAAGGAGTAGCCTGGTTTAACCCTCTCCAGGATTAATATATTCAATACTCTCCTCAACACCACAACTCAAAAGCATCAATTCTCCTTCTATCCTCCCTAGTCACTGTCCAGCTGATGCAAAACAAGTGACTACAAAGACCATGGCCTGTATCAGGCACACTTTAGTCTTCAGACTGACATGATTGCTCTTCAGTATTTTGAAGAGGTCTCTAACAGCAGATTTCCCCAACACAGTATGTCTTTTAATTTCCTGACTGCTGGTGCCAAGAGTGTTGATTGTGGAGCCAAGCAAACTGACGCTGTTCACAATCTCAATCTCTTCACCATCCATCACGATGCTGCCAATTGGCCCAGTGGTAAGAATCTTTGTCTTCTTGACATTGAATTTCAATCCATATTGAAGGTTGTAGTCCTTGACCTTCTACAGCAAATGCTTCAGATCCTCCTCAGTTTCAGCAAGCAGGGTTGTGTCATCTGCATAATGAAGACTGCTGTTGAGTCTTCTTCCAATCATGATGCCACATTTCTCCTCATATAAGCCAGCCTCCCAGATAATCTGCTCATACATATGTATATGTATGTGTGTGTGTGTATACACACACATACATACACATGTGCACGCACGCACGCGCGCGCGCGTGTGTGTGTGTGTGTGTGTGTGTGTGTAATGTCTTTGTCCAGCATTCTCTGATGCATAGCAAGTAACTGCAAAGACCATAGCCTGGATGAGACGCACCTTAAGTCTCTAAAATGACATCGCTGTTTCGCAGTACTCTGGAGAGGTCCCTGAGAGCAGATTTTCCCCAGTGCCATTTGTATTTTGATATCCTGACTGCTGGTATTAAGAGTGTTGACTGTGGAGTTCTCCATCTATCATGGTGCTTCCAACTGGCCCAGTGGTGAGAATCTTTGTCTTCTTGATATTGAACTTCAATCCACACTGAAGACTACAGTCCTTGACCTTCTACTGCAGGTCCTCCTCATTTTCAGCAAGCAATGTTGTGTCATCTGCATCCTGTAGGATGTTGATGAGTCTTCTTCCAATCCTGATGCCACATTCCTCCTCATAAAGCCCTGCCTCTACATATAGATTGAAAAGCTATGGAGGCAGTATGCATCCCTGACACACTCCTTTTCTGATTTTGAAACATGCAGTGTTTTTTTTGCTCTGTTCTGATGATCACTTCCTAGTCAGAGTACAGGTTTCACATGAGCACGATCAAGTGTTCTGGGATTCCTATTCTCAAGGTTGCCACAATTTGTTGTGATCCACGCAGTCAAATGCTTCTGTAGTCAATGAAACACAGATTGACATTCCTCTGGTACTCTTTGCTTTCTGCCAAGATCCATCTGACATTGGCGATAATGTCTCTAGTGCCACAACTTTTTCTAAACCCAGCTTATATTTCCGGTAGTTCTCTGTTGATGTACTATTCCAGTTGTTTGTGAATAATCTTCAGCAGGATTTTGCTTGCATTTGATATTAGTGATATTGTTCGACAATTTCCACACTGTTGCATCACCTTTTTTTTTTAGAATGGGAATAAATATGGATCTCTTTCCAGTCAATTGGCCAGGTAGGTTGTCCTCCAGATTTCTTGGCACAACCTGGTGAATATGTCCAGAGCAGCATTTGTTTGCTGAAATATGTCAGTTGGTATTCCATCAATTCCTAGAGCCTTATTTTTTGCCAAGTCCTTCAGAGCAGCTTGCACTCCCTCCTTCAATGCCTTTGAGTTGTGGTGCTGGAGTAGAGTCTTTAACATACCATGGATCACCAAGAAAACAAATAGGTCTGTCTTGGAGAAACCAAGTTTCTCCTCGGAGGTTAGGCTTTTAAAGCTCCATTTCATATACTTTGGGCACATGGCCAGGTGGGACTGGTCCTTAGAGAAGGACATCATACTTGAAAGGGTGGAGGGACAGTGCAGGAGAGGAAGACTCTGAATGAGATGATTTGATACAGTAACTAGGGCAATGGGGATAAGTGTGTCAGAGTTAGTGAGACTGGCTTAAGACAGGTCAGGTTTCAGAGCTATTGTACATAGGGCTGCTATGAGTTGCAGGCTACTCATCAGTATATAACAACAAGAACATATGTATGTACATCTATCCTATGTAAATGTACGAAAAAAAATGTCTAGAAAGATATACATCATCAATAATCTCTGAGAAAAGAAGTATGTTGGCTTTTTGTTTCTTTTAGGGATAAGTGGTTGGCAGGAAAAATTTTACTTTGTACTGTATTTCTATATTTGAACTTTAGAACAATGAATACATATTTGTGAACTACTTTTGAAATTTAAAAGTTACGTATATTCTCAAAAAGTTGCAAACAGAAATAACATTTGACCTAGTAATTCCCCTACTTGGAATACACTCCAAAGAAACCATAACCACCACTCAAGCAGATATATGTACACCCATGTTTATCGCGGCTTTGTTCACAATAGCAAAGACTTGGAAACAACCTAAGTGCCCAGCAACAAACGAATGGATAGAGAGGCTGTGGTATAGTCACAGAATGGAATACTACACTGAAGTGAAAAACAAGGAACTCATGAAATATTATTAAAAATGTATGACCCTGGAGGACATTATGCTGAGTGAAATATCTCAATCACAAAAGGACAAATACTGCATAGTGCCACTGTTGTAAAACAGGACTGACATCGGGGTTAGGGAGAGAGTGAAAAAGATGGGATAAATTATGTATACTGCATTGAAACAGATGAGAGAGAGAACTGCTTAAAAGGTATATACAATTCGGTATTATTGTCATGACAGGAGTCTGGATTGAAGGCTGCATAGTAGAGTGGACTTGCGGGGAGGGATTATATAACAACGAAAGAATTTTTCTTTTACTTTTCAAAGAGAAGAACAAACTGGAGGGGAGGGGTAGGCAGGGAGAAAAGTACAATAATGAATGAATGGAAATCCAAAATCTCTATAAATTTTCATTGAAATAATAAAAAATTTTTTAAAAAGTTATGTATATAGGAAAACATTCACACAATGGAGTTCTCTGCAACACTCAAAAAAAACCCAAATTTTTAAAAAAAACCAATTCACTACTGCTGTTAGACAATTCTAAATCGTCATGACCCTCCATCCAATTTCTACGGCTACATATCTTAATGGAAGGGACTGCTCATTTGAATCCAGCTGGTTTATTTGAACCACTGGAAAAGCAGCCTTTTGGTTAGCATCCTAATGACTATGTCACCAAAGCTTCTTTACATAACACTAAAGAATGATAAGGAATCTTCAGAACACTACTTCATAACATGAATGAATCCAGAGAACATGATGCTACCTAAGTCAACTACAAAAGGACAAATGTTTTATAAGACCACTGTTATAAAACAGGGAGCCCTAGTGGCCTAGTGGATAGAAAGTTGTTACACAACCCGAGAGCAGTGTGCTCTCTGGTGGTTTGAATCCACCAGCTGCACTGCAGGAGAAAGAGGGCAATCTCCTTCTGAGACACTTACGGCCTCTGAAAACCCACTAGTGAAATCCATTAGAGGGTCAGCTGTGAGTTGGTTCTGACTCCACAGTAATGACAAGTGACAATTATAAAAAGTAAAAATAGGTTAGGGAACTCTGGTGCTACAGATTCATTCCTGAATGGTTACTAGAATGGAAAGGATGAAGGGAGTAAAAAGAATAGATAACAGAAACTTATGAAGCTGAGTAAAGAGAAAGAAAATGTAAAAGATCAAATATTATCAGTTTTATAATATTATAAAACAATATGAACAATATAAAACAGAATGAATGACTGAGTGAAAAACCAATATGCTTTGTAACTTTTCTGTCAAACAATAAGAAAAAGTTATCTATGTATTGAGAAAAAAATAACAAAAATAAAATTACTCATTTTTATAAAAACAGAATTGGCATTAAAATACAAACAAATACACTCAGAAAAAGTCTAAAATATGGCTGGTACCAAAATATAAACAGGGTTTTTTTTAAGATGGCACTGGGATAATTTTTATTTTCCTCTTGCTACATTACAAATTTTCTACATGTAATATCTCAATAATAATCAATTTTAAGGCACAGATAATTTTTTTAAAAAGCACTTCTAAACAGTTTCCTTAGCAAACTTTGCCTAGTGACATAAAAAAATTATTCGCTCAGCAAAGTTCTGCTGCCCCTAAATCTACTGTTTATCAGCTTGAAAAGACCTACAAAGATTTAATTTTTAAAAACTTTTCTACCTTCAAAAAAAATTCCGATGACAATTAATTCAAACAAAAGCCCAATGACGTTAAGCAGTAAATCAGAATTTAAAAAATTATTTTAAAACAAATACTTAGAAATATGAAAGTTTTAATGAGAAAAAGAATTATCTACAGACAAATCAACACAGTTAAATTCCTAAAATAAAATCAATTCATATTCATACAGGGAGCTATGGTGGCTTAGCAGTTATGGAGCTGCACCATCAACCCAAAAGTGGGTGGTACAAATCTGTCAGCTGCTGCACATAGGAAAGATGAGCAAACTCCTCCTGTACATTGTTCAGCCTCTGAAAAATTCATTGGGGGGCCAGGTACGAGTCAGTTCTGATGAGACCGCACATGACAACAACAGTAATATAAATGTTATAAAGTTTGCAATGTTAAGAGGATGAGAACCCCAAATCTCCTAGCTTCAAAACTACTTTATAACTCTTCACTTACTTTGCAATCTTCTCCTTGAGAAGTTTCCAGTCCCATAGGTCTGTAGGAGTAACGTTCCACATATCATACTGAAGTATCTAAAGAATATAAAGAAGCCAAATGTACTATGTTAAGTCATTTCACGATAATTTAAGTAAATCAATAAAAAATTAACTGACACCTAAACAAATATTGTAGAACTTATAAAGAAATCAAAGTCCAGAAATTTCCTGGACAGACTTCCATGTAGTCATGTTGACCAGAATCAGACAAGCAAGGTCTCTACCAAACTGTGAGGATCAACATCACTCATGAAAACCTACCGCTAAGCTACAATCTCTTTTACAAGAGCATTAATTTAATTTCACCATTAACTTAATTCCACCTTTCTTCATTATTATGTTCTTCCCTTGAACTATTTACTGAGCTAATCATCTTTTCAAACAATCCCATATGAGATGTCTTAAATATCAGCAGGCATGTCAGAACAAAAAAGAACAATTTATGTGAAAGAACCATACTACTGATAATAAAGGTAGTATGGAAGACAGACTTTTAAGAAAGTGTCACAAATGCCCAACTCCTTATGTACATGTTGTATACATATAATCTCAAGTGTTGACAAGTATCTATGACACTGGTCAAAACCATGGCATAGAAAAACAAACTCTGCAGATATAACGAGTGTCCCAAATCAGTTAGTTAATAAAAAGGTAGATTATTTTATGTAGGCCTGACTGAATCAGATGCGAGTTTTTAAAGAGGTACTAGACCTTAACTAAAAGAAGCTCTCTCCTATTGGTCTTGAATTCTACAGCTGCAAGAAAACAAGTTAGTGAGTATTAAAGGCAATGCAGTCTTCCAAAATTATTGCAGCCTGTGACACCCCAGAAAGAGAATACAACCAAATTGGGCCTAGACTTGTGGCCTATGGAAACTGTGAGGTAATATATGCATGCTGGCTTAAAAATAGAAAACTAACACCGACAGCAGCATTGCTCTTAAGTCATTTTAGCAATGACTAGTTCGAAATAAGGGGAACTGGTGATACAGTGAGTTAAGAACTAGGGTGCTAATCCAAAGGCCAATTATTTTCCCCTCTGTGGGAGAAAGATGAAGCAATCTGCTCTGTAAAGACTAAAACCCTATGAGGCAGTTCTAGCCTGCCCTAAAATTTCACTGAGTGGAGTCAACTCAATGGCAGTGAGACTGATTTTGAAGAATTCTAAGTAAGAGGTCAGGGAGTTGATAGCTTAGAGGTAGGGAGTTGCACTGCTAACACAAAGGCACAAGGTTCAAATACATAAGCTGTTCCACAGAAGATGGGCAATCTCTTCTCATGTAATTTACTGCCTCTGAAAACCCGTGTAAGGATCAGCTATGAGGTGATTCTAACTACAATATACCTTGTTGTTGTTGTTGTTATGTGCCGTCGAGTCGTTTCCGACTCATAGCGACCCTATGCACAACAGCCCTAAACCCTGCTCTATCCTGCGCCAACCGCACCGCCTCTGACACACCCATCCCGATTACCCCAGTCACCGAATCAATCCATCTCATAGAGAGTCTTCCCCTCCTGCGCTGTCCCTCCACCCTCCCAAGCATGTCCCTCTCCAAGGACCCATCCCTCCTGGCAACATGTCCAAAGTATGTCAGACGAAGCCCCAGAATCCTTGCCTCCAAGAAGTAGCTTGGTTTAATCCTCTCCAAGATGAATCTGTTTGTTTTCCTGGCAGTCCAGGGTACATTCAGTACCCTTCTCCAGCACCACAGCTCAAAAGCATCCACTCTCCTTCTGTCCTCCCTAGTCATTGTCCAACTCTCTGATGCATAACAAGCGATTGCAAAGACCATGACCTGTATCAGGCGCACCTTAGTCTCCAGAGAGACACTGTTGCTCCTGAGTACCTTTGAGAGGTCCCTAATGGTAGACTTTCCCATCGTGATACGCTTTTTGATTTCCTGACTGCTGGTACCAAGAGTGTTGACTGTGGAGCCGAGCAAACTGAAGCTGTGAACACTCTCAATCTCTTCATCATCCATCCTGGCGCTGCTAATTGGTCCAGTGGCGAGAATCTTTGTCTTCTTGACATTGAGCCTTAGTCCATACTGAAGGCTGCAGTCCTTGACCCTTCGCAGCAAGTGCATGAGGTCCTCCTCAGTTTCAGCAAGCAGGGTTGTGTCATCTGCGTAACGCAGTTTGTTAATAGATCTTCCACCAAATAAGAAATCAGGGGAGTCCATTAGCAAATTGCTCTGCTAACCCAAAGACTGTTTCTCGCAGTTCAAATCCACGAGTAACAACTCGGAAGAAAGATGGGCAGTCTCTTCCTATTACCAAGTTACAGTCTCAGAAACTCAAAGGAGGGTCAATTTAAGTCAGAACAGATTTAGTTCTTTCTATTCCAAAGGGCTAAAGTCCTATTTTAGCTTCCCATGGCTGGTATAATAATAAAGTCCCCTAAACTTTGTAGCTTACAGGAACAGAAATTTATTCTCTCAAAGCTCTGAAGGCCAGATGTCCAAAATTTAAGGTGTTGAGAGAATCACAATTCCTCCAGAAGCTCTAGGGGAAATTCTGTACCTTACTACCCCTAACTTCTAGTTGCGGCTGGTTTTCCTGGGCTTAAGACTCTATGGCTCTCTCTGTGGACATACTGCCTTCATCTCCTCTTCTCTTTTTTTTTTGGAGGTGATAAAATTTTATTCTTCATTTTTGCCTTCAACTTGTACATATATTAAAAAAATGGTTCTAGAAGCCAGATTTTTGCTGTGACATGATTAGGGATATTGAAATATAACATTAAAGAATATATTCATTTGGTTGAAAATGATTTCTCACCTATTTCCCCCATTACCAAGTTTCCTCTGTATTTTTAAATTATATTAGAGCTATTTATAAATAGGTAAACAAGTATATTCCTTTCATTCTTTACATTGATGGCAGTATATTGCTATGCATCTTTTTTTTTTTTTAAACTGTGTATTTTGGGAATATTTCTAAATAAGTTTTTTCAAAAAAATTATTACATCTGGATCACTTAATTCTAACCTTCTCTGCAGTAGAAGTGAAGGGAATGGGAGTGAGTGGGACTTAATGATTTTTTTCCCTGCAGTGTCTGTTTCCCCTTGTTGTGTTCTTTGAAAGACAACTGTCACTGGATTTAGGGACCACCAAGATAATACAGATGACTGATTTCATCTTAATCTTCAATTACATCTGCAAAGATTCTTTTTCCAAATACAGTGGTAACATAGATTTCAGGGATTGTGACATTGTCATATTCTGGTGGTACCACTACAAGCTACCCAATGGTAAAAAGAAATTTCATCCATATACTTACTCCTCTGCTGACTGGAGAGCCTTCATAGGTTTCGTAAGGGCCAAGCTCCTTAGCCAGTTCACAACTGGCTTCCAAAGCTCCATAATAAATGGTTTCAAATATTTGTTTATTCAGTAACTGGGCCTCTGGACTCTCAAAAGGATATCTCATCAGGATGAAAGCATCTGCTAGACCTTGGACCCCAATTCCAATGGGACGATGGCGTTTATTTGATAAGGATGCCTTTGTGTCAACAGATTTAAAAAAGAAAAGAAAAACCTTACTGAACATAAAAAGAACCCACTTAAAAAAAAAAAGTACCCACTTAGCACCAAGGAACTCTATATCTGTTGTCTTTACACCATTCCAGTGATGACCATGTACATGATGATTTTCAGATGCTTCTACCTTGAATTTCAATAACTAACAAAAAATCAAGAAATCTACTCAAGATAAACTGAGTGAAAGGGAATATGACAGACATTCAAATTCATTAACTGCATTAATCAATGGCAGGTAATGTTATAAAACAAAATGTTTATGAAAGATCTTATAAAAAACCAGCATGATTTGTAAACCTTCACTCAAAAACACACAAAAAAGTAATATATTCATACCTCTGGAACAGGGTAGTAATTTATATCAATAATTTTATTCAAGTTACGGACAATAACTTTGGTGACTTCTTTCAACTTCATAAAGTCATATGTATGTTCTGATGTGACACACATATTTAGTGCCAGGGAAGCCAAATTACAAACTGCAACCTATAAAACACACAAAAGGTTAAGAATCATACAGTTCTTATTTCTTTCCCCACTTCTTTCAAGGACACCATTCTGCAGGCTTCTAACACTACCTGACATTAAAAGTTAAATCCTCTTCCCTTTCCCTTTCATCCATTCCATTCCTTTCATCATTTCATTTATAAATCCTAACACATATCCACGAAATAAATTGGAAGAACAAGAATATATTACATTGAGCTCAGATTCATTTTCATCTCATTAACTAGACGTGTACTGTTGAACATGACAGGTATTAGCTAGGGTTGTTGAGGTGTCGTCAAGTCTGACTCATAACCTGTTCTTTCCTGTGCCACCCTCATACTTCCTGACACACAAGAGCCCATTGCTATAGTCACTGTGTCAATCTATCTGATTGAAGGTCTTCCTCTCCTTCATCTACCCTCCACCTTCCTTTCCCATATGCTGCTATTTAGTTACGATATACAATATCAAATTCAGTTTCTGAATCACACTAGTCAACAAACTATGAAACTCCCTTCAAACTCATCTCAAGTGAAAGTAAAAATGACTGTTCAACATCCTCTTAATACTTTACAGAACAAATTTTCTATTTACCTCATCTTTGCTGGTATACTCCACTACTTCTGTGCATAGGTTGCTGCATTTGATTGTTCCCAGGTTTTGCTGGTTACTCTTCCGATTACAGGAATCTTTGTAGAGCATGTATGGGGTACCTGTCTCTGTCTGAGACTCAATGATAGCATACCAAAGCTGCTGAGCTTTCACAACTTTGCGAACACGACCCTTTTTCTCATAACTGAAAGGCAAAGCTAGCACTGTTTTAATATTCCCACATTAAGAAAATCTTTAGTGTAGACAAATTGAAGACACTAAAATATACAATTATATTTTAAAATTAAGCTTTGCTTAGGGGAAGAAAAACTAAGGTGGGTCAATTTCAGTCTCCTTAAACTCATTTAGAAAAATCAAGTAGTTTTAGACTCTTAAATGTATTCAAATCCCACTAACTCATTATCCTTTCTAATAAAAAGGAAGAAATAATAGCCAAATCTCCTAATAGTATCAATACTTTTTGAACTATTAAAATGTTGTGTCCACATCTCCTTTATACAATATAAAGCACAGCTTGACTTATTTTTGTCTCATGTGTTCTTTGATGCATTTGTATAAGGCATAACAATAAAATAAGTTATGCTTGTATAGGATGCTCTAGTACTAACCTCAAACAGTTCAAATCCATCAGTTGCTTCTAAAATTTACAGCCTCAAAAACCTGACACAACAGCAGTGATTTTTGCCTTCTTTTTTTGTAAGGACCAAATAACAAAATCAAAACATGTCCAAAGTTTTTAAGAAAGAAAGGAATCAAAATTTTGGTGAAAAATTAGAACACAAAACTGACCAAAATGAAATTTTTTTAAATTTTTTTTTATCAAAATGAAATTATTAATCATAACCTCTCGTAAAAGTTTCTGAAATTTTCTAGAGCCTGACTTGTGACCAGTCTCGTGAAATTATTGTTGAAACTTCAATTACATAAGTAAAAGAAATACATACTTTAAACATTTTTAGATATTTGTCTTTCTCTCATACCTTTCATACAGCTTCTCAAATTCCTCTCCCCAAACTTCATCTAGACCAGGACACTCATTTGGACACATCAAAGACCAGTCCTATAAAAGCGAAGAACAGTAAAACTAACACTCATGAAATTTCAAATAAACAACTCTAGTCCTTTAAATGCACTGCAAGATATAGGCTCTTTTGAGGAATTGCTATAGAAATAAGTTCAGGTTATTTTAAAACATCTGCTTTATAAAAATCAATGTAAGACAGGAGAATGGTTACCTCTTAACTGGCTCAGGATGTTCTCCATGACATCACATACGTTGTAAGATGACTGAAGAAGAGAAAGCTCATCTACAGGTCATTATTATTGACGGGCATCTAAATCTCACCTGATTGGTCTCCACTCGTTTCATGAAGAGGTCTGGAATCCAAAGGGCAAAAAATAGATCCCTGGCACGCTGTTCTTCCTTTCCCGTGTTCTTCTTTAAATCAAGGAACTCAAAGATGTCTAAATGCCATGGCTCCAAGTAAATAGCAAATGCTCCAGGTCGCTGATGATAAATAAATTATTCTCTTTAGAATAAAAATGAAACAAGAAAACCTTTTTCTTTTTCAAAGTATTTCTATATTTCCTTTAAATTTCACGAATTAATTAAATGACAATAAGTAGTATAAAAAATTTTAAATATTAATACTTTTATAATTCTAGCAGTAAGGAAAAGCAAATGACATAAAGAAAATGCTGAACAAAAAAATTTAATATGTCCAAAGTGACACACTTGAGATCAAGCCTCCCCTTGACTAGTTCAGTTTACACTATTTGCAATGCAGGTAAAGGCCAACAAAAACGTTTTTTAACTTTAACAATACAAGCTGTGCTCTTTATTAAAGGTGGAAATTGTGATTTGTTTTATGACGTTCCCCTCAGATTTTTTAAGTCCATCATAAGGAAATTAATAAACGAAAAGGTAATTAGTGTCCCTAGATATCCATATAGGGAAGCCCTAAGTTGTAAACTGGTCTGCTGATAACAATGGAAGTGGCGGCTGTTGTCAGGTGCTATCAAGTCAACTTCTATTCACGGTGACACTATGAACAACAGATTGAAGCACTGCCCTGTACTCACAATCCGTGATAGGTCCAAGCTCCCTGAACAGTCACTATTGTCAGTCTATCCTGTTGAGAGTCTTCCTCTTTCTTTCTCTGACCCTCTACCTTTCCCAGCATGGTAACTGGTCCTTCTTGGCAACACATCCAAAGTATGTAAGGTGGATGACTAGGTTTAGTTCCTCCAAGACAAAACTGTATAGACAACCTAATTTCTCTCAATTTTACTTTTCTTTGTGTAAAACTGAGAGGGTTCTTTGTTTCGTTTTTGTTCTTTTAAATTGTGATTTGAGTAAATGTTTACAAAGCATACTGGTTTTTCATTCAATCTTTCATACACATTTTGTTTTATAACATTACAAAACTCAGACTGTCTGATCATCCCCTTATTTTATACTTTTTCCCTTCACCCATTTTGTTTTCTTTTTTTTAAAAAAAGACTACACACTTTAACTCCTATTCAAGATTAAATATAAAAATAGTAACTAATCATCCTTTTCAGAATAAAAAATGAAACAAGGAAAACTTCCTATTTTTATTTTAAAAAAGATAACGTTACAACTTTAGATACTCCTTGCAAATCAAATTATCCAATAAAAAAGCAAAACTAGAGACTGCCTAAAGCCATGAATACAGTATGTGTGGGTGAGAGTGATGAGGAGAGACTGAACGCAAAGGTATATTAGCAAACTTTTTAGGGTCATGGAAATGTTCTTTATCTTGACTGGTGTAGGGAACACACAAATGTAAATATCTGTCAATCAAATGTAATCAAACTATATTACCAGAAGTATATATAAATATCTCATAAAATTATTTTAAAAGTAAAAAAACCCACCAATTCCAAAGTATGCATTTAGAAATTATATTCTACTGAATTTTATCACTGCAAGCATGCATGGCTAAAGATTTTCAGTTCTGATTTGAACATACCTTGTTCCCACCTTGATCTACATATCGAGCTGTGTTGTTGTACACTCTCAGCATCGGGACAAGGCCATTGGAATTGCCATTAGTCTAAAACAGAGATCAATAATACAAGTATCTGGACAGACAGAAGGGACTAAACAAAAAAAAAAAGAGACTAAAATGACCCAATACAAAACAAATTACTCTGTCCTTACCTCATGAGCTCCTTACCACTAAACCACTAGAATTCCCAATTTCTAGGTAGCAATCTATAATTTTATCTGCTCATCCCTCTCTATCTTGATTTTTTAAAAATACAACAGTTAACATAAATCCACGGGTGTTAAAAATTCTTTCATGGCATCTATAGTGGGTCAGGAGCCGTGCAGCCAACCCAAAGGCAAGTAGTTCGAATCTACCAGTTGCTCTGAGGGAGAAAAACGGGCAATCTCCTCTCGTGCGATTCATGGTCTCTGAAAATATTGTTGTGGTTCAGCTATTTGCTGGTTCTGACTTGGTGGCAATTAACAATTTACAATGAATTTTTACAGTTACAAGAGAGCCCCAAATAAGAGTAAATAAATTTAAACCCCAAAGTTTTTGAAAGGTCATTTATCAGGCACACTAAGAATTATTTGCAATAAATAACTTAAAAAAAATAAATAAATAAGGCAAATGCAGAAAGCCAACAAAAATAAATTCTAAAACGAGAACAAGAAAATACTAAGCGTCAAGTCAATCCTGACTTAATGGTGAACAAAATAAAACACTACTCAATCTTTGGTCCAAAGCAGACCATTGGCATTCACACGATTTTCATTGACTAATTTTCGGATGTAGTCCTTCCTTCCAAGTCCATCTTAGCCTAAAACCTGTTCAGCATTACTGTATCGTATAAGTCTTCAATGACAAGACAGGTAGTGGCTGTGCGTGAGATACTCTGGCTAGGATCAATCCTACTAAGCTCCTTCCAAGCTCCTGCATGGAAAGGAAAGAATTCGGCCACTGAATCATCAGTTCTCTCAACACTGCAAGATTGCATTGAAACAGATGAGGGAGAAAACTGTTTAAAAGGTTTATATGATTAGGTATTATTGTCACGACAGGAGTCCAGAACGAAGGCTGCATAGTGGAGTGGACCTGGGGGGAGGGATTGTAAAACAATGAAAGAATTTTTCTTTTACTTTTCAAATAGAAGAGTGTACTGGGGGCGGGGAGAAAAGTGCAATAATGAATGAATGGAAGTAAAAAAAAATTCAGTAATGCAGTTATTAGACATATTAAAGATCATGACATCATATAAAAAAAAAGACTGCAAGATCCTTATCAAACTCTTTAAATAAATAATCCTAACTTCAAGGTAAATCTTTTAAATTAAAAAAGTGAATAATAATTCATTGTACAAATACACCCTGACCCAAAAAATTCTACCACCTAGCAGGTTCTGATTCAGCGACCTTATAGGGCAGAGTAAAAACACCATAGCTTCAAGGGTGTAAATCTTCATGAAAGCAAATTTCTTCATCTTTCTCCCAGGGAGTAGCTGGCAGGCTCAAACTGCCAACTTTGTGGTTAACTGCTGTACCAACAGGAATCCTGATAACATATACAAAGAATCCTTTAAGAGATAACATAATAGAATAATTTCTTTCTGGACTCTCTAAATGTAAGGTAATTTTTTATCCTATGAGATGAGATATTTTCTTCACTTCCCAAACAAGAAAACTCAGATGTACACAATAATCTGTTCTAACCAACACTATTAGTTAGTGGAGATTGAATTTAAATCCAGATCTTAGCCAAAATCACTGTATTGACTCGATGAAATATCAACTAGCAAAGAGTGAAGTCTACATTAAAAAGGGCTAAAGTTTAGAGATGGAGTCTTAGCTCTAAATCATATATTAAATGATCTCTGGAAGCAATTTAACCTTCTAAACCATAGATTCCTGACTTGCAAAATGAAAGCAATAGTCTCTATAATCACAATGCCATTGTAAGATCACTGTTCCCAACATGTATCTGAAATGGGATCTTTCTTATAAAGTTATAGTAAAGATTAAATAAGAGAGCGCTGGTGGTAGAGTCTGTAGGAAGGTACTCTGCTAACACAAATGTTATGCCTCTCTGGCCGTTCAAATCCACCAACTGCTCCAAGGGAGAAAGATGAACAATCTCCTCTACTGTGATTTATATCCTCTCATAACTTGCTAGAAGGGTCAGTTCTGACTTGATAGCAATGAGTTTGTATTTCTGCAGTTTTTAAAGGTTAAATGAATGATTCATGTAAAACATTACATCTGTAACAGATTCAGTACATAGTAAGCATAGTAGGACTCAGTATATAGTTGTTTCTGCCATGAACTTGACTAACTCATAGAGATGCTATGCCCAATAGCTCTGAACCCTGCCCTACCCTGAGCCAGTCTCACTGTCTCTGACACGACTCATCTATCCCCATTACCCCTCTTATTTTGTTAGTCCATCTCATCCAGGGTCTCCCTCTCCATGTGCCGTCACTCTACCCTTCTAAGCATGATATCCTTCTCCAAGGACTGGTCCCTCCAGGCAACATGCTCAGAGTACGTGAGGTGGAGCTTCAAAACCCTTGCCTCCAAGAAGCAACTTGGTTTTACCCTCTCCAGGACAGGCCAATTTGTTCTCTTGACAGTCCACGCCATGTTCTATAATCTTCTCCAGCACAGGCCAACTCAAAGGCATAAATTCTTCTTTTGTCACCCTTTGTCTTGTGCAGCTCTCTGATTCATAGCAAGTAACTGTGAACTGGGGCCTGATTCAGGCACACCTTAGTCTAGACTGTCACCGTTGCTCTTTTGCACTCTGGAGGGGTCCCTGACAAACACTCAGTAATGTATCTCTTCCAAAAACTCATTGCTGTAGAGTCGGAACCAATTCATAGCTCCAGTAGGTTTTATAAGAAAGCTGTAAATTGCACAAGAGGATGTTCCCCTCTTTCCCTGAGGAGCAATCAGTGGATCGAAGAAGCATGGCCTTTAGGCTAGCAGCACAACTCCCTACTGACTATACAATCTGAGCTCCCGTATAGCTGCTATATATACACCAGAGACTTGGTGGCATAGTGTGTAAAATATAGGGCTGGTCTACTAACCGAAAGAAAGTTGGTTCATTTCAAATTCACCAGCTGTTCCAAAGGAGAAAGATGGGCAAGTCTCCTGCTGAAAAGATATATAGACTAGGAAACCATGGCTAGGAGTTGAGGAATCAACTCAATGGTGGTGGATTTGGTTTATTATTTCTAAAATAAATGAAACTCCAGAATCAGAGCTAAAAAGAATCCTAAAGATCTAGACTATGAAGTGAAATGAATTACTCTAATCATACAGTTTACTAATAAGCAGCAAAGACTTGGGCCTTCCAAATCCCAGTGGGTATGCTTTCAGACATAAACCTGGTTGTTTATAGATTTGGATTTCCCCTTGTTGGTTTTTGTGACTATTGTTGTTGAGTTGAAATCCATCCATACTCCAGAGGGTTTTCAGAGGAAATAATCACATGGGAAGAAATTGCCCATCCTTCTGAACAGCTCCTGAAGAACAGCTGGTGGATTTGAACTGCATGCCTTTGAGACTGCAGCACAGCTTCTTACCACTAGATCACCAGAGCACCACAATTTTTACAGTAATAAACAGATGCTTACCCCAGCAATGTAGCTGCCCGTTGCTCGAATACAACTCACTGCAACACCAATTCCCCCAGCAGACTTGGAAATCAGTGCACACTGCTTAAGAGTGTCATAAATGCCTTCAATGCTGTCATCTTTCATACATAGAAGGAAACAGCTACAAGTGGTAAAGAAAGCACAACTTAAAGCAAGGAACTAGAGCCAGCTGAACAACAAAAACAATTATACAACCCAAAAACATAAAATTGAGCATATAAAAATATATTTACAAAGTTTCTAAGTGTTTTCAGAAGGAAAAGAAATCTTTTTTCCTATGACAAATTAAAACATATTTAAATGTTATTATTTTTAAAAACCTACTTGTCTACCCTAGATTTTAAGTCTAAAAGAAAATCTTACAGAAGTGTAAAATAATAGCTCATGTTTTCACCAGATTGTACAAATGCCATTACCACATTTTCTCATATAATTCCCTATATATACATGGGGTGTCCTTGAAAGTTGGTTTTTCTAGCCATTGTATTAGCCCCTGTTGGGAAGGCACGGTCTCCAGTTACCTTAACTGCAAACACATGGTCTTACAAACCATCAATAACTGTGAGACCAATAAAAGAAAATGCTTTCCACACTGTGGAAGAGGGCAGTGATGGCAGTGGAGAGATTGTGGCAAGGTGTAACAAGAGGAACCCTGGAAATAAAGACCACAGTTAAAGGTTTTATTTGCTGGATGACTGAAGGAAAATCTGACTTGTAACTGCTCTGAGATAAAGTATGCTGAATAACTGAAGAAACCAGAGGCTTCTTGAATTTATGCTATTGAACTAAACCTGAGGAATTGTAAATCTTGTAAAACTTGTGGAATTGTAAATCTGGCTTGGAACTGCTAGACTAAACTTGAACTCATGAGATATACTTTGCCTCCCCTACTCTCCAATCTATTTCCCTAATAAACCTCAAATTGTGAGTCAAGTTTGTGAGTCTTGCAATGAACATTGGACCCAATGATTAGTAGAAATAGGTACAGGAGCATGGTGGGTGACATGTCTGACAATAAAGTTATTTGGATGGCACTATTAATGGGGACAGTTCCCTTTTATGAAGCAGAAGTCAGACTTGATGCAACTTCACATTGCATCTGCTTCTTTCACAACTGAAGCCTGACTCAAGCTATGGCATTTTCCACAGGCTCATAAACAAGAGATAGTTGGACAACATACTGGAAAGGATAAAGCAGAGTGGATGCCTTTAAAGTGTGGTATTAGCAGAAAACACTAAGTTTTGGACTACCAAAAGAACAAATAAATTACTCCTAGAAGACATGCAGCCAGAACACTCCTTGAAAACCATGATAGTATCACTATCCATACTATGGATACATTATCAGAAAAAGCTAGTCCTTGAAGGACATGCTCATGTTTGGTAGTTTAGCAGTTACGTAAAAATGTAGTCATTGTCCATTCTGTGAACTGAAATGGTCATTCATTTCCACGAAGTGACCAGGTCTTTGGAACCTAATGCTATAAAAATTAACCAAGTGAAGAGTAATATGCTTTTTAATATTCTATAATCATGTTATAGAATGTCCTCCTCAAGTCATATATATTTTTAAATTAAATTTATTCTTCAGTATCTTTCAGTAGTTATTATTGTTCTAATGGTATATTTTCAAAACTTTATTTTCTTTTAAAGTACAGAAATGCAATTAATATACATTAATCTTATAACTAGAAATACTGCTGAAATCTTCTAATTTTACTAACTTATCTGAAGATAATTCTGACTTTTCTATGTAAAGAATTATATAACCTGTGAATAATTACAATTGTGTGTCTTTCATTTCCAATCTCTTGCTTCTTTTTCTTACTTAACGAAAGTATCAACTGTGGCCTCTGTTTAATGCCTTCAACTCATAATAACCCTATTCTGAGTTTCTAAGGCTGTAAAATCTTAATGGGAGGAGACTGGACATCTTTCTGCCTCAGAGACACTGGTGGATTTCAACTGTCAGAAACAGAGTAGGTTTCTGAGACTATAAATTACAAGGGAGAAGACTGTCTATCTTGTTCTTGAGGAGCAGCTGGTGAGTTTGAACTTTCTGAGAACATTATCCATTTCTGTTAATTTTATCTACTTCTCTCATGTTTTACTTTTACTACCCTAATCCAAACTAGCACATAGTGCTACAGATTACTATTCTCAGTAGTAATTTCTTAAGCAGCTTTACTAAGATATAAATAACATTTAATACAAATTACCAACTTTAAGTGTATAATTCTTTTAGTATAGTCATAAAATTATACAGTAGCACCACAATCAACTTCAGAACATTTTCATAATTGGTATCTACTTTGATAATCCACATAATCAGAGCAGGCAGTGATTATTAACTGAGTTAATTGTTATTTAATAAACTGCCTTGTTGTTCAGATAAAAGTTTATTTCCTTCATCAAAACCACTTTAAACAATTAAAGCAACAATAGATTCCACATACCTAGAAAGCTGTGGGCGATTGGTCCCAGCATTGAAGAGGGTAGGAGAAGCATGAGTAAACCACTTCTCAGACAGAAGGTTGTATGTTTCAATAGCAGCATCAATATCTTCTTTGTGAATCCCGACAGATACCCTCATCAGCATATGCTGTGGTCTTTCAGCCACTATAAACAAAACAGTTTTCACATGATGACACATTAGAAAAACTAAGCTAAGATATACTTAAAATTTTTTTTAATATAACATCAAATAAATTAAAAAAACTACTCTAATAACAAATAAAGAGTCATTTACTAACCCTCAAGTTATTTAGAATGCTAAAGCTAAAAGAACTCAAAAATGTTCATTTCTCACCTTTGCCATTGATCTTCAACAAATAGGACCGCTCCAGGGTCTAAAAAGAAGATAAAACAACTAAAAACTTTATAGAACAGTTTTTAAAGAGATAATAAATATATCATTTACAATAAAGGAATCTTATTTCATATAATTTTAAATTAAAAGAAAGTTATTTATTCTTATTGGCTTTGAACATTAATTGGTTGTTTTGGACATGAAGAGTGCATGAAAATTTCTTGAGGCAGTCAAGTCTGCTATATTTATAACAATTTATAGTAGTAATTATCATAAGCACTTAAGATTATAAATTACTTAGAACAAGATAGGCAACACACACTTATTTAATCCTTACAACAATCCTATGGAATTTTATTGTTACGTTCATTCTAAAAGAGAGAAAAATAAAGCACAGAGGTTATATAACTTGCTACATAAAATAAAAATATGAACCCACATAGTATAAAACTAACATTGATACTTCCAATCACTAAAGTATTCTATCTGGTAACACAAAAATACATAGCTCTTGGCACATGGTACGGATTCAGTTAATAAAACTCTATATACAAAATAATTGTGGCAAATTATCTACATAATTCTTCAAGTAAACCAGAAGTATTATGTGGAAAACTGAAGACAGACATGCTATCTTTACCTAGATTCAAGCTGCCAGTACTCTAGCCTCAGATTCTCTCAACTCTATCCCAACTTCTGACAACTTATTGCCTTTATAACTCTATCACTAAAATGTAAACATTTTTTTTTCAAATTTCTTGACTACCAAGCAAAATAGCAGTCTATATCCTCTATAACTAAGACAACAGAAAACAAAGATAGCAGATACTAAAAACTCTGTAGTTCCTGATTTAAGGTAGGATTTGATACCCATTATTTACCTTGAAGCCAAAGTAATTATAAGAGAAATCTCGGTCATAGATAATGGCTGAATTCAGGCGCTGAGGAGGTAAAAAGACATAATTGAGATAATTAGAAAATTTAGTTTTAACTAGATTTTGGGAAAATCTTTTATAGTCCTGATAACATAACTAAAAATGACATTAAAAAAGGGTAACAATAAACATTATTGCTACAGAATAAAGATCTAACATTAAGACATAAAAACACTATAAATTAAGTATACTTGGAAAAGGGACCTTTGATGAGTATGTAGTATACTACGTGTTGGGCTGTTAATTGAAAGGTCAATGGTTCAAATCCACAGGCTATTTCTTTTTTTTTTTTTTTAATTAATTTTAATGAGTTTACAGACTTAGGGTTTCCAGTCATTCAATGCTGTATTTTTCTCCCTGTCCACTCCCCACCCCCCATTTCACTCTTCTCTTTGAAAAGTAAAACTCCCCCCAAGTCCACTCCACTGTGCAGCCCTCATTCTGGACTCCTGTATTGACAATACCCAATCATATATCCCTTTTAAACAGTTCTGTCCCTCATCTATTTCAATGCAGTACACATCATGCCTCTCCTCTTTCTGCCTTCCCTAAAGCCCGACGTCAGTCATGTTTTACAACAGTGATCCTATGCAATATTTCTCCTTTTGTGACTGTGATATTTCACTCAGCATCATGTCCTGCAGGGTAATCCATTTTGCATACTAGTTCATGATCTGTTTTTCAGTGCTGCATAGTATTCCATTTTGTGAATATACCAGAGCTTCTCTATCCATTTGTTTGTTGATGGGTACTTGCGTTGTTTCTAGCTCTTTGCTATTGCGAACAAAGCTGCAATAAGCATAGGTGTGCATATATCTGCTTGGGTGGCGGTTATGGCTTCTTTAGGGTATATTACCAGGAGAGGAATTGCTTGGTCAAATGGTATTTCTATTTACAACTTTTTGAGAAAGTGCCATATAGCCTTCCATAGTGTCTGCACCATTTTACACTCCAACAGTGAATAAGGGTTCTAGTTTTTCCACAACCTCACCAGCATTTGATTTACTGTTCTGTTAAATTTTGCTATTTTTACTGGGGTGAGATGATATAGTTGTTTTGATTTGCATCTCTCTTAACGCTAGGGATTTTGAACATTTCTTCATGTGTTTGCCATCTGAATGTGTTCTTTGATGAAGTGTTCATATCCTGTGCCCATTTTTCAATTGGTTTGTTGTGGTGAGGCTATTTCTTAGAGTAAAGATTTATGGTCTCAGAAACCCAATGCTGTGTTGCTATGTGGGTGTAATTAGGTTTAAAAGCATGCACACTGAAAAAAAAGTAGAGAACATAAAAATATAAGCTATGTAATTAAAGGGGATTTCCATTTTTGCTCTATAACAGGGAAATAATGTTTCATATTCTTATTGTTAACCATTTTTTTTAGAATGGCTATTGGTCCCAAAATGCTGGTACTATGTGCTTATAATTGCTGGTACCATGTATGCATCTTTTGTTGTTGCTTAGAATATAAACAGCAAAATACACATACACAACTTTTTTCTTTATGTACAATCCAGTAATAACATGCCCTAAGTATGTGAGATGAACCTTTATCATTTCTGCCCCCAAGGAGTACTCTGGCTGAACTTTCTCCAAGACATAAATATTTGCTCTTTTGACAGTCTATGGAATATTCAGTAATCTTCTCCAACACTTCAACTCAAAGGCATCAATTCTTCTTCTTTCATTGTGCAGTTCTCAGATATACAGCCAAGACATTGAAAAGATCATGGCCTGAATTAGGTGCACCTCAGTCTCTAAACTGACATTACCGGTCCTCAGTACTTTGGAGAGGTCTCTGACAGCAGACTCTCAATGTAATACATCTTCTGATCTCCTGACTGCTGGTACCAAGGTACTGATTGTAGATCCAAGTAAGATGAAGTTACTGTCAATTTTATCTTTTCTCCATCTATCATGATGTTGCCCATCAGTCCAGTGAGAATTTTTAATGATTTATATTGACAGTTGTAGTCTTTGATCTTCTGCAGCAAATGCTTCAAGTCCTCACTTTCAGCAAGCAAGGCTGTGTCATCTGCATAACACAAGTTGTTGAGTCTTCCTCCAATCCTGATGCTAAATTCTTTTTTTCTTTCCAAAGAATTTTATTTCCAGTTCACCACCACCAGACTATGATTTTATTTCCAAGTAAGCACTGCTAGACTATAACTCTAAAGAGTAGGGGGGGAAAACACACCAATCTGCTTAGTACTATCCTTCACAGAGGGTGGGTATTACATATCTCTAAAACATTTCCACATAGTTCTCAAAAATCACTGAAAATGCCTCTCCTTTCAACTGACATAAGGTTAGGAAAACTCAAATAAGATATTCAGTTTCTTAAATTATATTAATAATTTAATATTCAGTTTCTTGGGCAAAAAGTCCCCACTCTCCCAGGATGTCCTCAGTAGATCTTATCTTTCAGGCTACCTCAACTCTTGAAGCACAATCGAAGAAGTCCTGGGTCTCTCTTCTGCACGCTTCCTCTCAGAATTCATTCTGCTCCAAGCAAGCCACCATAACTAACATTTCTGTAATAGAAGTGACCATGTCCATCTCTCAGCACCGCTCCTCAATATGGTTAGCACTGTAGAATGAGGGGCTATTGGGCCTCAGGACACGTTTTTTTGTGTTTTTTTTCCCCGGAATCGCCAAGTGAGCAAAGCAGCACTGCAGGCTGGGTGCTGCCACTGCCCAACAAACTACCAGGCACCTCTGCCCGCATTCTTCTTAGAGTCCAGCTTCTTGAATGGTGTGCTCAGCGTACATATTGGCTAGGTATGGAGAAAGGATACAACCCTGGTGCACATCTTTCTTAATTTTAAACCACACAGTGGAGAAAGGATACAACCCTGGTGCACATCCTTCTTAATTTTAAACCACACAGTGCTCCCTTGCTCTGTTCAGACAACAGCTTCTTGGCAGGTATAGGTTTCACATGAGCACAAGTAACAGTTCGTGATTCACTTTCCTCTCAATCTTAGCCATAGTTATTGTTATGTGTCATTGCTTATACAAGAGCCCTAAACCCTGCACTATCCTATACCAACCTTACTGTCTATGACACACCTACCCCCATTACCCCAGTCACTGAATCAATCCATCTCATCTAGGGTCTTCCTCTCTTGCACTGTCCCTCCACCCTCCCAAACATGATGTCCCTCTCCAAGGACCATGTCCACAGTATGTCAACAGAATCCTTGCCTCTAAGGAACAGCCTTGTTTTACCCTCTCCAGGATGAACCTGTTTGTTCTTTTAGCAGTTCATGGTATATTCAACACTCTTCTCCAGCACCACAGCTCAAAGGCATCAAATATCATCCCTAGTCACTGTCCAGCTCTCTGATGCATAGAAAGCAATTGCGATGACTATGGCCTGGATCAGGCACACTTAAGTCTCCAGACGTACACATATATTTTTTACCAGAAAAACATGATACATACATCTTTATTGGCCAAAACAATATCTAGTGTTGACTTGGCCACCATGGGAGAGTGCTTGCCATTATGAGGATTTATGTAGTTGTACAGGTCTTCCATCACATCTAAAACAACAACAAAAAATTAAAATGTCAGAAAACTACACAATACAGAATTCAATAATCAGCTAACAGTTTGAAACAGAATTCTTCAACCCTCATTATCTTTCCCTACTGTTCCTACTCAGTACCCTAATATAGGTGTTCAATAACTACACAGTTTCTCCCATTGTCCAAATTAGTGTTCCTACAAAACCTTTCATAAAACAAAATTATGTAAAGTGAAGAAATAATTAGCATTATTTTATATGGGAAACATCTTTAAAATGTTCCAAAATAAAAATTTTTTTTTAAAAAAAAACCCCAACACACTTGCCAAACTGTACCAAACAACACATTTAACCCCAAAAATCACTAAATGAAATGATACACAATTAAAAGTGATGGCAGCTTGATGGAGAGATGATGAGTGTAGTTCCTAGGGAAGGTGTTTGGCCAAACCACTCTCAGTGGGTAGGGTGTGTGCAGACTGCCTCTTTAACAATGAACTTGCTACAAAATACACAATGAGTGCTAGTCCTATTTTTTGCCTTTCTTCATAAAAACAAATTCCTCTTCATATTTCTTTGAAATAGCAACCGCAGTTAAGTCTTTTAAAAATGCAAAGTTGCAAAATGCGAGCCAGGGAAAAGCAGGGCATACTCTGTTGAATAAATATATCATAATGCTTCACTTAAGAGTTGTACTTGAAAAAAATCCCCAGTGATTCTGATGCCCTGTTCCTAATGAAAACTGTTGGTTAAAAATGAGGAAATTCAGAAATTATAATCCCTTCTCATTGTTTTTAGGCTAATGGAACAGAAACTCAATCTGAAACTTGGGATCTAGAACATGTATTTTTTATAAGCTAAATTTGCCCTTCATAACCTACTGGCAATTCTTAGCACTGTGCATCTACAAATAAAACACACAAAAATGCTAGGCTTTTGAACAGAATTAAATCTACAGAATTATTTCAGAAGAACTGATATCCTTACAATAAATCTACTGAAGGAGGAAGCTACAATGTTTGAAATAATAATTACTCACATAGTAAATCCAGAATTGAAAGCTAAGATTTCTAATATTAGCTAGTCTACCAGCTGCCTTCTTATAAAAAGAACAAGCTGTTTAACTTTTCTTTGTCTATTTCCCCTGAGCTGTAAATGGGATGTGAACAAGTGCTGACTAAAGGTCAACTGCTATATTTTTTTAGGCAGAAGTTATCCAAAAATATTTCTCCTTTTCCAACCACCCTATCAAAAGAAAGGCTTTGCCACGCCCCACCTACTCCCAAGAACAAAAAGATAAAAAACAAGGATTCACTGACTCTTTTATGCAGATTACCAGGAAGGAGAAATAAGAACTTCTAGTCCCTTCTCTGTCACATAATGACACATTTACTATTTTAAATAAGACGTTAACTTTACTTTTCACAGTCAAGTTTTCTCTTTAGTCCCCTTTAGAATGTTCCAAGAATAAGAAATTTCTTCTTTTTCACCCTAGACTCACCACTGAACACTTTCTTTGTCTCTTTGTGCAAGTTAGAAACAGCAATCCTTGCTGCCAGGATGGCATAGTCAGGGTGTTTAGTAGTCAAAGTCGCAGCTGTTTCAGCAGCCAAAGTGTCTAGTTCCACAGTGGTAACCCCACTATATAAGCCTTGGATTACTTTCATGGTGATCTGAGCCTACAAAACAAAGCCAGAGTTATTTGCACTTTCCCAAGAACCAATGTTGTTACTGTTAGGTGCTGTCAAGTGAACATTGACTCATAGAGACTTTAAGAACACTAGGTCTGAACCTTGCCCTATCCCACACCACCCTCAAAATCTCTAACATGCCCAAGCCTACTGTTAGTCACCATGTCGATCCATCTTTTTAAGGGTCTTCCTCTCTTTCTCTAATCCTCCACCTTTCCTAGCATGAGTATCCTTTTTTCAAGAACCAGTAACTTTTAAAAGCAACTAAAAAAACAACCAACCAGATTTTGTTGAAAAATTACATTTTGGGGGGGAAAAAAGTAGCTGAGGAAAACACAGTAATGAGAATTCATAAACCAATGGAATTACCAGAAAATATAATCTACAAAAACAATAAAAGTTTTCATTTAAGAAAAATAATTATTTAAGAGAAATCTTAAAAATATATTAACTTAGAAGGAAAGAGCTGAAAAGACTAATGATTCTTTATGTATTTTCTCACCTTTCATTCAAATACACCCTAAGTAATCAGGGCTCCAGTTCTATCCTTACCTGTTCTTGTTGTTAGGTGCTGTCGAGTTTAGTACTACAAATAGTGACCCTATATAATAGTGAACAACAGATGTGAATCCTATCCTGTGCCAACTTTACCTACCTTTCCCCAACTCCACATAAGCACAGGTACAAAACAAAAGAGTCAAATCTTAAGTATTTCAACTAAGTGATCAAGGTCTGCAAAGTTTACCAGTAGTAACCAGGGCTGGAATGAAAGGGGAAAAGAAGAGTAACTGCTGAAGGAACACTGAGTTTCTGACCATGATGATGAAATAATTTGGAAAAGCACAGTTGTGAAGATACACGATATAATGAGCATAATCAGAGTCAATGAACTGTACATATAGAGTAGGCTAAATTAGTAAAGGTTTGTGTTATAGATATATACATTTTTCCCACAATTTTTTTTTTAAAAGGATGAAAGTCTGAATGAGGGTTGGAGTCAAGCCATCAACCACTTTTATTTTGTTGCTATTATTTGGAAGGAGTGACATCCCTTCCTAAACAACATGCCTCCAGAAACTTTATGAACTTTGATAAATGTTATAGTTGTAGAGGGGCTTCAGGCCTTTTGTTTATAGGGTTGCTACTCTAGCCAATCAACAACAATAACACTGTTGTACTTGAGTGTCACTGATTATACCCTTTATGTTATATCCTTTGAGAGCAACCATTCTCAGCCTCCTTTTCCAAACTTTTCCTCCTCAATTAACATAAGAACAACTCAGAAGGTTCCTATCTAATCTTTTCAGTTGGGGTTGTCAATATGATTTCATACAGATAATTCTTAAAACAGTACAATGTCAAAGTAGATATTCATCATTAGCCAAGATAAACTATTGGTTTTAAGAAGACTTCAGAAGATATTTTTGGATCTAAGTTGAAAGACTATCTCAGGATAATATTTCAGGAGTTCATCAAATAATTTTAATGACTATTCTTTTTAGCACTTCACAAATGACAAAGTGTCAACTTTCATAATTGTCTCTGCTATTTCATAATCACCTTAGGAGAGGGTATTAATTATTACTGTCACCACTTTATAAGAGGAGTCTATGGCTCAAGTTATTGGAACTTATACAAGGTTATATTATTATCCTACTCTTCCATTAAATCTCACTGCATTCATTATGCTGTTTTCAAGTTCAAATCATAAGCAATTCCATTTTTAAAATACACAATACACAAGTTAACAGCATATATCTTGAAGAGAAATAAATTATAAAATGTGTATATGTAAACAGGCAGTTCCCAGATTATGCACAAACTCTATTCTTTTTTAAAACTTGTGTGCAATCAAATCGACAAACTATTTTTAAACCGATCTTTAAGTCCAATTTCTATGCAATATGGAACAGAGTGAGTTTCAGTTCATATCTAAACTCAGTTGGTCAAAAGTCTCAGTATATAAAATACAGTGTATTTTTCTATGCATAAAAAAATAAACACTTCCACATAGACTAAAATATAATAATACAGTAGTAATAATAATGTTTTGAGAACTACTGTAAAGTAGTACTGATGCAAAGGAGTACTTGTTATTGGGAACTTAAATTTTTAAGCTTAATAGGCTTTACAGAACGTTTTGTTTTTAACTAAGAGTTTTACAATCCCAGGAACTGCCAGGAACTGCCTGTTTGCTTACTGCATCTTAAAAACAAACAATGTAACAAAAAAAATGAAAGGATTTCTCAGTTGACTGAGAAACTAATACTAATAGCCTCCCCTCATAGGAAAGGGGGGGTTTGTTATTGTTGCTCAGTGGTAGTGGAAGCTGAGGATGTCCAGAAATAAGAATGAAGTAGAAAGAATTACATGAAGCAAGGATCTTGTTTACTTACAGGATCAACAAAGTCCATATTGAGTCCATAGCAAAGCTTCTGGATTCGAGATGTGATTTTGTCAAACATGACTCGCTCTTGGCGGCCATCTAAAGAATCAAATAGTACAATTCATGTTAGAACTAATTAAAATAGCAGCATCAACAAGGTGAAACATAATTAACAAAAGAATTTTTTAAACTGACCAATAAGAAATGCTAATTCACAGACAAAAGATTCAAACCATCAAGAGATTATCTTCTCTAATGTCATTTTCAAGGAGCTCCAGTGGCCTGTGGTAAGGAGTTTCACTGTCAATTGAAAGGCACTCGGTTCAAATTGATCAGTTGCTCTGTGGGGGAAAAATGGGAAATCTCCTCCAGAGCTATTTATAGCCTCTGAAAGTCTGTTGGAAAGTCAGCAATGAGTTGGTTCTGATTCAACAGTACACAACCACAACATTTTCAATTAGGGATTCTATACTGAAAGTTTTCCCTTCCCTACATCCTAAGGCATATGGATTCTTGCACAAATTTCTCACCTGATCTGTTTTCTCTTTGTCCCAAACAACAGCCAGACCTATCCCTAAACATGTTGCTGCACACTTAAAATTGACGACCATGCTTAGAAACCCATTTGCCGTCATTTGGAGTAATGTGTTAAAAAACTTAAGGTTAAAAACTCTATCATAACCAGTACCAAACACCAGCAGCCCCAAACTCCTTAATAGTAGCTTCCCACTACCTTCAAAAATCTTTGCAGTAATCTCCAATACCATAGAAAATTTGCCTCTGGTTCCTGCCTCCAATCAACTTCACCTTCGAATCGCCTCCCCTTCTCACTTACTCTACCCTGACAACTCCAGCCTGTTCTCTATCCATTCTTCCCTTAGGGTTTGCTCTACATCCAATTCTCAACAAGGTCTTTCTTGCTCATTCTATTTTTAAATGAAATATCCCAAACATAGCCCTATTCTTCCTATTCCCTCCCTTTATTTTCTTTTTCTCCAAAATACTTCCCATCAACACATATAAAATGTTTATGTATTTTGTGGGTCTACTCCCAACTACTAATATTGTTATGTGCCGCTGAGTCGCTTGTGACTCATAGTGACACTATGTAAAAGAGCCTAAACCCTGCTCAATCCTGTGCCAACCTTAGTCTCTGAGTCACCTACTCCCACTACCCCAATCACTGAATTGACCCATCTCATTGAGGGTCTTCCTCTCCTGTACTGTCCCTCCACTCTCCCAAACATGATGTCTCTCTCCAAGGACTGTCCAAGGACTGGTTCCTCCTTGCAACATGCCCAAAGTATGTCAGACAAAGTCTCAGAATCCTTGACTCCAAGGAGCAGCCCAGCTTCACCCTCTCCACGACAAACCTGTTTGTTCTCCTAGCAGTCCATGGTATATTCATCATTCTTCTCTAGCACCACAGCTCAAAGGCATCAATTCTCTGTCATCCCTAGTCACTGTCCAGGTCTCCGATGCATAGCATGCAACTGCAAAGACTATAGCCCGCATAAGGCGCACCTTAGTCTCCAGCCTGACGCTGTTGCTCTTCAGTACTCTGGAGAGGTCCCTGACGCTGACTTCCCCAATGCAGTTCACCTCTTGATTTCCTGGCTTTTGGTACCAAGAGTGTTGGCTCCACAGAGCCAAGCAAACTAAAACTGTTAACTATCTCAATCTCTTCACCATCCAAACTGATGCTGTCAAATGGCCCAGAGGTGAGAATCTTTGTTTTCTTGATATTGAGCTTCAATCCATATTGAAGACTGCAGTTCTTGACCTTCTGCAGCAAGTGCTTCAGGTCCTCCTCAGTTTCAGCAAGCAGGGTTGTGTCATTTGCATAACGCAGGTTGTTGATGAATCTTCCACCAATCCTGATGCCACATCCTCCTCGTACAGCCCAGCATTCTGGATGATCTGTTCTGCATACAGATTGAAAAAGTATGGAGACAGAAACATCCCTGATGAACCCCCTTCCCAATTTTGAACCATGCAGTGGATCCTTGCTCTTCTGTTCTGAAGTATAGGTTTCTCATAAGCACAATCATATGTTCTGGGATTCCCATTCTTCTCAGAGTCAGCCACAGCCTATTGTGATCCACATAGTCAAAAGCCTTTGCATAGTCAATGAAGCACAGATAGACATTTCTCTGGTACTCTCTGCTTTCTGCCAAAATCCATCTAATATTAGCTATAATATCCCTAGTACCACGACCTCTTCTAAACCCAGACTGCACATCCAGCAGTTCTCAGTTGTTTTTGCATAATTTTCGGAAGAATCTTTCTTGCATGTGGTATTAATGATTGTTCAATAATTTCAATAATTTAGTTATTAAAACTAAAATATAGAACTTCCAAAAGGTAAAAGATTTTTCCATGTCTTATATAATCTCAAATGTCTACATCAAAGCTTAGCACATAATATCCAAAATCCATTGTCATAAGAGTCTCTTTTAATTCATAGTGAGGAGAGTCCTTTCAATTTACAGACTATCACTTACTCTCCTAGATCAGCAGGGAAGTATGAACTGTCAACCAAGCACTAAGTCACAGCTGTCATGAAGACCAGGGCCTGAGTCTCCTCCTCTGCTGGTGCAGTTGGCCGCAAGCTTCTGAATGTGTGTCTGTCTCTGTATCCTGGATGTGCCTGCCCCTTTTCTGCCATTTCTTGAGTATGCCAGACTGAATTCTTGACTAGCATGGTACCCATGTCTAGCTGTTGGGAGAGTAAGACTGTGGCTTCTGCAGGCCTGTCCTAGGATGATAACTGGAGTCACAAAGGTTTGCAGAAACCATGTCTTGCCTCTATCTGTTCAGATGAGTAGTTATATTGCTTCCCAAGCAGGGGTACCTGTCCTCAATATCCTCACCAATGGCAAACAACAGACAGGCCTAATAAAGTGGTCGATAATGGAGGAATATACTCCATAAAACAATCAACCATAAAGGCTCTAAAGAGTCGCTCGCAAGGTAGAAAGGGATTAAATAAAAAGTCCAAGGTTTGTGTCTATCCAGAAGTAAAAAGGGCAGGTGATCTACTTCAGAAAAATCAGTCATTTAAAGTCCTCTAGAGCAATTCTACTTTGACACACATGGTATTGCCATGTTGGGGTCGCCATAGCTATGTATTTTGACTACATATTTCGGTCTTCAGTCTCAATTGCTAAAATAAAGGGGCAAGGGAAATTCAGGAGCTTTTGCAGAGAGATGTGCAGCTAACACAAAGATGGTCGAGCCTGCCAGCAGTTCAAATCCACCAGCTGTTCCTTGAAAGAAAACTGGGCAAATTTCTCCCTTGCAATTGACAATCTAAAAAAATGTGCTAAAAGTTGGTTCTGACTCAACGGCAATGAGTTAGTTAATGTGTGAGAGAAATTCCATAAAATAGCATTCTCAAACACTAAAAACACCCTGTGTCCTTTAAACTTGGTTAAACCAATATGTACTAACCAGAGAGACTAGCAGCTTGGGTAGCACTCTTCCTATATCCCACACTGTGACACAACTACCCCCATTAATCCTACTCTAAGTGTTGGCAGGAAGGTCTTAGTCTTTGAAATGTTCACAGTCCAATGATTAAACCCTGGTGGTATATGTTTCCTTAACCAGAAGGTCAGCAGTTTGAATCCACCAGGCGTTCTGTGCGACAGAGATGAGCCAGTCCCTTAAAAACGTATAGCCTTGGGAAACAGATGGAGAGTCCCCGTGAGTGGAAATTAACTGCGTGAAAGTGGGTTTGGTGGACGAAACAGGACATTTATTCAGTCACCCAGTATTTATGTGAATACCTAAGCACTTAGCTGTTAAATAAAATGGCGATTCAAACTCACCCCAGCCACTGTGCTGGGTGGAGGATAAGGATCAGGTAATCTTCAGCACTAAAGATTACAGCTTTGAAAACCCTGGGGGTGTTGGGGGGATGGAAAAGGAGGTTAAGGGTGTGGCAATAAAGGAAAAAAACAGAAACTATAAGGTCAGTTCTACTCTGTCACGAGTTCATCAAGGTCTGAACGTCAACTAGCAACAAAAAGGCACCCAACAATTTTGAAGTGCTTTATTAACTGATGCCAGCAGATTCAACTCAAAACTCGTCCATGAATGTCTCCGTTCTAAGTTTGTATTACTCTCGTTTTACTAACCGAACTAGGTAAACCTTTTACCGTGGCAGGAACCTGTTGCCTTTGTCCCACAGTAGTTTACCGACCCCGAGGTTTTCAAACAAAGTTTTACAATAAAATGCAATTGTCAGCTACAGGTCCCAACACTGACCTCCCCCCATCAAGAAGTGGATGGCTCTCAGCATCTGTAAAGTGGAGCTAATAATCCCTACCTTGGAAACTAGAGCTTACGAATAAAGTAAGGTCTGTAAGTGCAGGGGGCACAAAGAAAACATCTGATGAGGGGTGGGGCTTATACCTTCAAAATGACAAAGCAAAGGGGCGCAGCCTGAAGGTCAGATCGACTGACCGAAGACAGAAGGCCGCGCTGGCTGACACGGCGGGAAGCGACTGCGGGCTGGGCGGGAAGCGGCGGCGCCAAGCAGCCCTCCTCCCAGCGCGTTCTCTCTTCCCTGCCGTCCCCGTCGTCCTTTACGGACCCCTCACCTCGCTTGATCACATGCATCGCAGCTAGTCGCTGAGGTGCTGAGAAATTCAACTCGAGGCTGCAGATGAGACGGCGGTGAAATCACGAAGGTGGTGCAGCGGGCCGAGTTTGTGTTCAAAGGGTGCAGAGTTGGAGCACAAGGCGGACAGAAATTGGGGACACCCAGCACTCTCCGCACCAGAAGCGCGGCAATCTGAATCCCTTTCCCGCTCCCGCCACCTGTGACGTAAGACCGACGCGACGGATTTCAAATGGCGTACGTCCCGGGCCAAATGGGGGGCGAGCGGGAAGTCGAGACGGCCGGCCGCCGCCATGTTGAGTATGGGCAGGGTCCAGGAGAATGCACCGGCCTGAGGCCACACTGACTGTGGGTATGCCCAGTGGCAGCGCTGTGCTTCCGCCGCCATGCGGAGTGTGGCAAAGCCGACCTGTAAGTCCCTCGCAACCCCGACGCAGCGGGCAGAGCCCGCCGACCCGCCCCTGCCCCTCTCGCACATGCGCCCTCGCTTTGTTAAAACGGGTTAAGTAGTTTTCAGTTAAGGACAAAAATCCAGCTATCCAGAATACATTTTATTTTGACGGCTGTACCAATATAACCCCGAGACTGCAATCCGATGTGGGATCCAAAACTGAGTGCGGAGGGAGACTTAAAATTATCAGGCACGCCAAGCACTCCGTGAGGTTACAAGAGCCTTCCTTGCTAGGTCAGAAGCAAACGCCTGTGGATTTTATCCTGACGGAAAAAGGAGGCCATGGGAGACTTTTTAATCGGGGCCAGGCCAAGACCTATTTGCCTTTAGAGTCTTCCAGTGAGGGTGTTGTACTGCAAAACCAAAGGCTGTATTTATCCAGGACTTTGAATCCACCAGCCACTCCGGAGGGAGAAAGGTGGGCAATGTCTCATCGATTTACAGCATTGGAAATCCAGAGGAGAGTGACCTATGTGTTGGAACCGATTTCACTAGAGTAAGAGTGGGTCAGTAATAAGGAGGTGGTTGCCTTGTGGAGGTAGAATCGGTGTGGCTTGGTGACTGTTTAAAATATGTAAACCTGTCTTTAGCCTATACAAACTATCTGAAATCTCATCTGTGGCATTGTACACTGCTCCCCTAAAAATCATAGGTTTATCCCAGCTCTCCACGTGAGGGCCCAAGCTCTGGTAGAAGTAATTGTAATAAAGGGCATAGGAGCCTGGAAGTGAAGCTCTTAGCGTAGTTGGGTAGTTGGTAGATGGGCCAAAAATATGAATGTAAGAGTTAACAAATTTTTTTAATTGCCACAATATTTCATGGTGCATCTTTCTCATTGCTGCCAGTCGGAACTGATAATAGCTGACCCTTCAGCGGGTTTTCCGAAACTGCAAATCGCAAGGGAGGAGATTGCCCATCTTTCTCCTGGTGGAGTGGCTAGTGGATTAAAATCCCTTGCCTTTAGGTTGTCAGGGTAACTCCTTATCCATTAAGCCACTAGAGTGCCCTCATGGTACGTAATTATACTAAAACTTCTGTATCTGAAAGTAAAATTTAACTGAGCATTCTGTTTTATATCGTAACCTTACCCGGAAGGTTTTCTTATGTGCATTCACGTTTCATTTTCCCTTAGCAAAAGAGGATTTTTTTTTTCTTCATCCTCTGCCTGCTGTGCCCCAGAGAGTACAGAAAACACAGTAAAGAGTCAAAACGAGCACGGGTTAAAATCTCCTACATGCTTTATTGGACTTCAAAGAGTCTTATCAAATGACACAGAAAAACCCATGTGAGGGGTCTAGAGGTACAAGGCAGTCTGTAGCCTAGCACTCTCCTAAGACCAGTCCCAGATACACCCATCCCAGGCCCAAAACAGGATCCCAGGGAAAGATGACAGGGAGTGTGGCAGAGGGAAAATAACCTTTACAGCCATAGCAAAAACAGGTAAAGGAAGGAGTTGTCTAGAGCCTGGTAAGAAGGAGGAGAGGGGGAAGTGGTCACAAGCCGCTTTCATGTATACCATCTTCCTTAGCCCCTCCTCCCCTAGACTGGTTTGTGTCTTTGACCCTCTGGCCCAAGCTATGCAGTAACATGAAAATGGGAGTTGGCAAGGGGAGTATGTGGTGCAGGCACTTGGGAAATTGAGATTTTTTTTTTTCCACTTTTAAACTGTTTTGTCTTTTGGTTCAAATGCAACAGCATCATAACCCAACAGTTGCTGGGCCCCATTGGAGCCCTGTATCATGGCTGTGGCTCCCATAGCCAGGAAGCCAGTTGTCCTGAGCCCCAAAAGTATTGATGCTTGGGGAGCACTGGGGCAGCACCTCTTAGAGACAAACCCTCCTGCATTTTAGATGAGCAGAGGGAAGAAGGTGGCAGGTATAGGTGGGAGAAGAAAGGTGACTGCCTTATTACACACAGCTCTGGCATCCTCTCATCCCCAATGAAGAATTTTCTCCCGATCCATCCCCTAGTTTGGCCTCTCTTTAGAAGTTGATGGTTTGTTCCCTGGGAGTTGGTTTCACTTCCCTATGGTCCCCTGGAGAACTAACTGAGCTCCAGGCTGAGGCTTCTCCAGGCCTCTCACACTCCCAAAATACAAACCTCAAAGAATAGGCCCAGGGTGGGGTGGAAATGACCTGAGACACAAGTGTCAGATATTACCCCACCTAATCTTCCCCAAAGCTGCAAAAGGAAGTTGAGGAGTAGGGGAAGGGAGGAGTCTGAAAGCAGCAGACAGAGAGAAACAAGAAACCAAACCTTAAAACTGGGACAGCAGAGGCAGAACCTGGACCCCAGAGGTAGAACTGGAAGTTGATGGAGCAGAGGGAAGATAGCAACTAAGACATGCACTGAAGTGGAGAGGGAGTGACGACAGCAGCCCATTGTTGAGAGGAAGGCAGGGCAGGCAGGCCATGGTGGTCAGTTAATAAATAATCTTGAAGGACCCAAGGACAAGGGGAGTGGGTATGTACAGTGCCCAGGCTTTGGGCTAGCCCTTCCCAAACCTCAATCTAGAGCCCAGGTATCTTGGTGGAGAATGGGAAGGCAGAAAACCCAGGAAAGGACAAGTTGTCCTACTACTACCACCCCAATCCTGCCTACTTCTTAAGAGGCTTCTTAAAGATTTTAAGGGGAAACTTCTTCCGGCCTGGGCTGGAGTCTGTCTCCTCACCAATGGAACCATTATCCTCCTCAGCCACAGCCTTCTTGCCAGCTAGGTGGGGAATGCGTGTATTTCGACTGGCCTGCAAGGCTCGGCTGTCTCCAACTGGAGACGGTGTGTCTGGATCTGGGGAACTGGGACTATGAGAACGGGAAGAATCCAAAGGTGGAGAGCCACTGGGAGGGAGTGAGGAACTCAGCTCCATCAGGCTGTGGGCCTTATCTAGCCCATGATTCAGTGCCAGTGGTGCCTTCTTGGCCAGAGCAGGGCTGTCAGGCAATTTCTCCACCAGAGACCCTGGGTGGACCCCCTCAATCAGCCGGTGGCTGCCATTGGAAGTCATGGCGCTGACAGCCTCATCTGCAGCACGGGCCATCTGAGGAGGCTTGGGAACCATCCGCTGGCGGTCACTCATATGGAGGGAAGACTCCGAATCGGAATGGGTCAAATCCCTGTAAAATACAGAGTAGAGAGAGGCAAGGGGACACATACAGGATAGAAGATAGGAAAAGGAGGAGAAATGGTCAGCATAGCAAGACAAGGTCAGGGTAGGAAAATGAAGATGGAAATAAGGATAGAAGAAAACAAGATGAACAGGACAGAAAGAAAAGCAGAAAGAAGTTGAATAAACCAGAGGGACAAAATTAGAGGAGACAAGAAAGACCAAAAGAAAGGGGAAAGTGAGGAGAGAGAAGAGACAGACAACACAAAATAAAAACAAAGGTCATTATAACATCATGTGCCCAGCAAAGGGCTTTTCAGTGACTGCGATCCATTCATGCTGAATGCCCTAGCCCTATGTTGGTGCAACTATATGCTTAAATCCCATACTTATTCTTAATAAAATATCCTCCTTCGAATAGCTAGCTCATTTTCTTAGGACTCAAACCTAAGTTAACACAGAACTACCTCTTTCTGAGTCACCTTTAAGGCTCTATTACTAATGGCTTCCTCCCCTACCTATATCCAGTTCTGCGTCAGGCCCCAAGGAAGAGAAAACATGCAGTCAGTGGGCCTGACCCAGGCTGGAGACAAAAGGTTAGAATAGCCTTGCAAACAATCCCCCACCAAGCAAAAAGACAAGGATGCTGCCACTTTCAATCTCAACAGGATTTAGAGAAGTGACAAAAAGTATTGTTTTTTGTTTGGTTTTTTTTTAATTACTATTTTTATTCTTTATTGTCTTATTTTTCAAGTTTTAGGTGCCAAAGACAAAAAGTATTGTATGAGTTCAAACAGAGGTGCAGCCTCAGAATTCTGCTGACAGGTAGACTGTAGGGAGTTATAGAAAGATAGCATAGGCCTTTAAGAGGCAGTGTTTCAGAAGAGTATAGATTTTTTTCCTGGTTTGATTTACATTTCTGCCTTAGGCTCCTTATGTGACCTTGAACAAGTTATCTAACTTTTCTGGTCCTCAATTTTGACCAAATGAAGATAATGTCAATTCAATTCTTTTATTGAAGGTAGAGGGTCAAATATGTTGGCAAAGCACTAGAAAATGTAGAAAGTACTATGGGAATGAAGATGATAAGGACAGTCTGTCTGGAAGGATTGTATGTAGGTGAGTGACAAGGGGCTTCTTTGCAAGGCTGAGTTTTGGGGGCATGCCACTCCATACTGGACATGCACACACAGAGACTTGAGGAACTAAAAGCACTGTAAGTGGCTTGCTGTTCCTAAAAAGGCTATGAACTAATTCTGTATGCTACCCCTTATGCCTCTACAGACAAAAGGATAGATAGGGGGGGTCCCCAAGCCAGTCCCTAAACTCTTCTTCTGCTTCCCAGAGGCTTGAGAACCCATGGCAGAAGCAGAGGATTAGACTAAGTAAAAATATAAGTCAAGAAACCAAAGGAAAGGAATCATATGTCAGAGGAGAGCAATACAGGACCTGGAAGGAAGGATGCTAAGAGTTTGAAGTCAGGAGGGCACTAGGTCCCTGAAAAGGGCAAAAGCATGGCGTTAGCTCATAGCTGTTGCAGATTTTAGTCTCAGCAGGAAACAACTAATTAAGCAGCCCCTCTGTGGGCCAGTACCTTCCTGGAGACATGGGAGAGTAGAGAGAACATCTCCAGCTCCTGCTTCTATTCTATAAACATTGTTCCAGACACTTAGGCTAGCATTTACCAACATGATCGCATAGATCTAACCTTGTCATTTAACTATCTAACAGTCTTCAGTCTCTTTGAAAATCATTCAAGGTGATTTTCTCCATCTCCTGCCTTCTCCACATGAAGCAATATCAAGGAGCCAAAGAAATTCTGTGGCATAATCCCAAGGGAAAAAGCACCCTCTAAACTGAGGAGATAAGGTTGAGGCCCTCTTAGACTTAGTCCTTTTGGCCTGGAGCCCCATTTAGTCTTCATTCCAGCCCCCTACACCTCTTTTATAAACTAAAAACTGAGACTTTTAAGGCAAGAATAAAACCTTCAAGGAAACTTAGGTTAGACACAGAAGGGGAAAGGCCTACTTGGGCAGGCTCACCTTCCCTCCTTGATTCTTCAAGACCGTTAGGCAAAAGGTGTCCCTCCCCAAAGGCTGTACTGCCTTAGGTTCACATCCCCAAGCTACTAACCTTACTAGAGAGCCTGTTTGCCTTTATAGACGATCCTCTGGTGCATGGTGCAAAAGAAAATCAAGCAGTGAACAGGCCAGGTGAATGCAAGTACTTTCCCAGCCCTCCTCCCCTCTGCCCTCAGCTTAATTCTGGGAGCATCCATAGTGCCCCCACCCAATACAGTTCTCTCCATCTGTATTGGGAGAAGCAGTCTCCCTGCCTACGCTTTTGGATGAAAAATGAGGATGAGAGTGAACATGAACAGCTCTGCTAAATAAAGACCCTAATAAAAGCAGTCCTTTTGTTGAAAAGAACAGAACAGTCCTTTTTTAGGATAACTATCCAGAGGCTCTAGGGTCAAAGCTAGACAGAATGCATCCAGAGCAAACCAAGGCCAAAAAGAAGCAACTTGGGAAACAGTTTGAATCCCAGAGGCCAAAACTAAGTATGGTCACAACTTCAGAAAAGAGAGGTCCTCCCAGGGGAGAGAGACTGTCTGAGGTTGTTCCAGAAAAGGTTAAAGCTACTACTTCTGACCCTAAGCTAGTATCATGATATAGTAACAAACTTTCTACAATGGAAGAAAGTCCATCATGAACTCTTCTGCAGTTCACTTACTAGGGTTTTGTAGGACAAAAATGTCTTAAGTGTCCTGCAATGGAAAGGTAAGTTCTGTTTTGTGTTCTGCTCCTAATTAGCTATAGAAAAACTGTTTACCCTTTCAGAATCTTAACTGCCTTCTCTAAAAAATGAGTATTTTAACACCTACCCTACCCATAATATTTTTTTATCCAGAATAAAAGTTATCTTCCCTCACAAACCTGTTTCTCCCCTTGGTTTTTTTTTTTTTGTTTCTCCCCTTGTTTCCCTAACTCCCTAAAGAGTGCTACATCCATCCATTCTTCCAACTTGCAAGCATCATCCTAGATCTCCCTTTCTCCTTCATCTGCCATCACCAGCCACCAAATTAGTCCTCTCTTCCATGTCAAAACCTCATTACCTACCCTACTGATCTACTGCAAGTTAACCAGTTGTCACTGAGTCATGACACCCCATGTGTGACAGAACAGAATGTGTTCCATAGGAGTTTCAGTGGTTGATTTTCAAAAGAGATCAACAAGACTTTCTTCTGAAATCTTTCCATATGAATTTGACAAATGTCCAACATTTTGGCTTGCGGCTAGGCATTAATGGCTTCTAACTTCCTTCAGTCTCCTCTTTCAACCCTTTCTTTATACATGCCACCATTAAAATGGCACTTCTAAAATGCAAATTTGACCAGCTGTCTCAAAAACCTTTTTGCATATCTCCATTCTTAAAACATTAAGGACAAAGCCCTTAGCCCTTACCCTTCATTGTGCTAGCCTCATCTGCTGCCCCTTCCCACCAAAGCATTCCAAAGTTCTAGCCAAGCATGCCAATGTTCTAGCCAAAGTATTCCAATGTTCTAGCTTCACATATATCAGATGCTCTTAACTCTTCATGCCTCTTCATGTTTCCTCTCTGAGAATAATCCTTCTTTCTCTACATATAGGTTGTTAGCACAAATGCCATCTCTTTTGTAAGCATTCTTCCCTAGGTACATACTGTTAGTCACTCCCTCTTCAGCATCCCATAGCACTTATCAGATTGTTCTACAATTATTTATGTACTTCTCCAAGACCAAATTGTGGTCAGTGATGGCTGGGGTTGTACAGAGTAGGTACCAATAAATATTTGTTGAAGTAAGGGAAATGGGCCTTCACTGAGGTAACTGATGTGGAAGTCTAAATTTTAGGCAAAAGTGCTAAAGGACCGTAAGGGAGGGGAATTGTTATTCATTTTTAGAGGCAGCAGACTTTAGACAGAAACACAGAAGGGGAGAAAGGTATGGGGAGTTAGAATGATCTTAAGAAGGAGTCCCAGATCAAGGAAAAGACAGGAACTGGAGAAATTCCCCACTAAACTCACTCCCACAACTGATCAAGCAGCAGCCAGCAGACAGAGAACAAGGTAAAGACAGCAGAAATGTAGGAAGGAAGAGAGACAGCTGATACCCCAAGCTCTCTGAATGCCCAGACATCACAGCGGTGCTGTCAGAAGGGGGTGGGTCAGGGTAGGGCTCCATCTGGAGGAAATAGGAAGTACTCTGGTGATAATAGACAGGGTGGACATGGACGGTATTGGTGGTGGTGGTAGTGGTGGCAGTAGAAGAGCAGCAGGAGGAAGCAGCACAGGCAGATGGAGGGCTGGTCCCGTGGCCTTCAGAACTGAAAGACTGTCCAGATGAAAGGCTGCGCATTCGCCGCAGAGATACCCGGCTTGTCAAGAAGTGGCCAGCCTCACCCTCTACCAACCTCTGAGATCCTAGGCCATGCTGTGGTTCCGTCAGGCGCTGCCGAACACTGCTCTGCAGGCTGGGGGCTGCAAGGAGAGTGAAGAGACTGTGAAAAATGGCAGGCTTTGACATGGCAGCCAAGCAGGGTTGCCCAGAGAAATATCTGTTGGAGACCACTCTGAGCCTTTTGGTGCCCAATCTGGAAAATGGGGTACCTCCTCCCAGAAACCTCCCACCAGGGGTCCTGAAAGGAAGGGAAAGTCGAAGATGAGGTGCTCAGATCAGTTTTAGTGGCAATTTCAAAAGAGACTTAAGGTCAATGTTATTATAAGGGAGGTGGCAAGGCAATTAGTGGAAGGGCACAAGCAGGGGAGGGGAGGATAGAGGCTTGGGGCAAGGTCCGGGAGAGCACTAAGAACCAGCCTTTTTATAAAGCCAAGCTCAGAGAATATAATTCACAACTTAGACAAGGATTCACGTACAAACATGTTCATCAACTCATTTTTTTATAATTGTATACAAGTAAACATAGAGGTGGAACAATGAAAGACTAGGGTGATATTAAAAATGAGGCTTATAAAAATATTTTAAGAATATGGAGAAATAGCTGGCTTCCTAACTATGAGATCTGAAGAACTGGATGGTGGCCTAGTTACAATTACACAGAATAATTCTGCTCAAAAGGAAGAGAATGTTGGACAGAATTTAAGATGCTTATGGACTCCAGTTTTTCTGGAATCATGGAGGACAGAGGAATCCCTGAAACTTACTCTGAGATAATCTTTAAACTTTAAATCATAAACCCCCCTGAAGTCATCTTAAAAATTAATAATATTGTAGTTTACCTAGTGAAAAAAGGCAATTGTGAACATTATACTCTTCTAAGAATTATCTAAATGGAATCATAGTGATAAAGGCAACCAGAATGACCAGAGGGAAACCTTACAGAGTTGTGAGTCTATGTTAGAAGAAAGAACAGCTTGGAAAAGGGGGACAACTCAAAGAATATAATCAACATCACTAAATTATACAGTAGAAATGAATTTGTATAGTCTTAGCAACAACAAAAAATAACGGGAGAAAAAAGCATGGGGAGAATACCTATTAAAATGCTAATTGAAGCAGCATACACAATTATGTGTAACAGAAATATGTTGACCTTTGAAATACAAGAGGTAGAGCTTGAAAATAGGTCTTTCCACTGTCTAGCTAAAGGACTTAAGCATCGTACTTGCACATTCTGAGCCAACTTCCAGATTTCTAAAGTCCTGCAGAATTGTTCTGAAAGTTTGATAGGGTTTCTAAGGAGTCCTGGTGGCACAGTGCTCAAGAAATTGGGCTTCTAATTCAAAGATTTGCAGTTTAAGTCCACTAGCTTCTCTGTCAGATTAAAACAGGTTAGTGTTATCCAGTAAAGATTTACAGCCTTGGAAACTCAATGAAGGAATGAAGGGCTGCTGTGACTTAGAACCAACTCGACCGCAATGTGCTCTTATATAATGTATTTGAAGTACTTGACATAGTTGTTAGCACTGAACAAATGGCAGTAGCTATTTTTTTTTTTACAGAAACAAAGACTGAAAGAGAACATGCTCAGATGTAGAAGAATGGATGCCTTTTTTTTTCTGCTAGTATTTATTCCTTTTTATTTTCCTAATTACCCCCAATAAGCATGAAAGCCTTTTTATTTTCCTAATTACCCCCAATAAGCATGAAAGCAATAAATAACCAATTCCCGGATTGATGCTGCAAATAAGACTCTTAGAAGATAAAGACCATCCTGCCCAGTGAAGGAGAACCAGGTAATTAGGTAAGTGGCAGAGCTCATCCCCAATAGGGTCTCTTGGGCTTACTCCCAGCTCCAGCTAAAAAGAGGACTCAGACTTTCATTCTTTCTCTTCTACCTTGTTAGAAGACAGATCCTACAGGTAGGAGAGAGGGCCAGGTTATAAGAGTGGCTACTAGGAAGATAATTCCATAGTAATAGAGATTTGGAGAGTCAGAGCTTCTGTGGCTTCTGGCTTTCAAGGCATGAAAAAGAGGCTGAAAGGTAAAAGCAAGCATGGAAAATGCGGGGGGGGGGGGGGCGGCGAATAAGCAAGGGAGTAGAGAAGATAAAATAGAATAGTCTTCCCTTCCTTCTTTCTATTCTAGCCAAGATAAATGAAGGACCATGAGTGAGGACATTCGCCTAGCTAAGCTGAAGGAAGACCCGTAAGACTTTCATCACCAGTGGGCATTCTCTCTCTAGCCCTTAGCTGTGCAAGGCTGATTCTTCTCACCCCCGAACCCCTCCCTGCAGTTAGTAGGGCTGGTGCTGAGGGAATAGAGGGAACAGGTAGGGGTGTGAGGCAGGCAGGAGAAGGATTTCGTGGGGTACAAGTGTTGGTTTAGTTCCAAAAGTTGGAAAAACAAAAACCCCAAAGGGGCTCCTCAAACCCGGGTATTTCCAGAGGGACTGATCATCCGAGCCGGCGGATGTAGAGCAGAGAGAGCGGTCACTGAACCTACGCCCCATCAGCCAGGCAGCATCTAGGGTCCAACAGCCAGGCCAAAAGGAGAAGAGAATCTGATTTACAGAGGGCTTCAGCCTGCCAATCAATGGGGCAAGGGACGGGCAGGCTGAAGCAAGGGGTGGGCTGTTCAGACCTAGTGAAGGTCCCTCCCAATCTACAGTAAACAGGAGCCTTTAGACCAGCAAATCAGGATTACTCATTACTTGTCACTGATCCTAACCTAATTAGACCTTTTGGCTAAGAAGTCTGTTCTGGGAAACAGAAGGGCTTGGCCAGGGGCAAAGAATCATTGAACTTAGAGATAAATCCTGAGGCAGGAATCTTGCTTTCTAAAAGTTAGTCCCTAGTTCAGCCCCAACTTTCTACCAATCCCCTCATTGGTGCAATACAGTCTTGGGATGAGAGCTTCCCTGTGGCATAGTATATAGCTTGTTGAGCTGCTAACCAAAAAGAATGCACCAGCCGCTCTACTGGAGCAAGATGGGCAGTCTCCTTCCTTAAAGATCCAGAAACAGGACGGCAAGTCACTATGAGTCAGAATCAACTCAGTGGCAGTTGGTTTAGTTTTGCTTATAATCATCTTGGTTCTAAAGAAAAATTAAATCCTGAATCAGAAAGGGAAAATTCTCTTCTTTCACTAAAGATTTCCCATCAGTGTTGTCCCTTTTGGCACTGCTATACCCAGCCCTCATCTCCCACAGGAGAAAGGAAAGGATAGACCTAGGACAGAGGTGGAGAGGGCCAAGAGGTCGGGTGGGAGGCCAGACATGCTTGTGCAGGAGATCTCTCCCGGGCAAGAATGTGTCTCTGGCAGGTGTGGCACACTTTAATGGACTATCTACTTCATAGGGCTTCACGTGAAGAGGTAAAAATAAAGAGAGACACCATCCCACTCATCTACTTTAGCAATCAGAAATAAGGAACACAAAATTAAATTAACTAGATAGTCAAAACATATGTCATATCAACCACTAAAAGAGAAAATTTTGATTAAAGTAGCTAGGGAGAAAAGGGAAGAAAAAGAGAATAAAGAAAAACAAATACTGAAGGGAAGACACACATAAAAAAAAGACCCAGAGGTGCAGACAGAGCATATGACAAAAATCACCAAAAAGACAATTATTAAGAAATAACCTGATGCAATTGTGCTTTATTAGCCAAGGCCTTAAGTTATATTATCATCCTTGGTGTCTGTCCTGTGTGATGTTAATCACAGCAGAAGCCAAGGATTTATCAACTTGTGTGTCATAGGTTCCTTGCCTCACCCACCCAGGAGGTCACCTACACTGCATAGACAAGGGTGACACAATCTCCTCATCCATATCATCCACGTCGTCAGTCATGATGAAGTGGGCAGGGTTGGGGCGAGTGCTGCCCATCCAGCTGGGGTCTATGTTGAGGGCAGCCACCAGTGAGTGAATGCCTGGGTTATTGACAATCTGGAAACCACAAAGGATCTCAATCTGTTGCCAGCGGTGTAGCCGTTCACGTAGTGCTGCTGTCACCTCACTCAGCGCTTGCCTGAAGACAAATGAAAGAGAATTGCTGGCAGGGGCTAAGTGTGAACCTCAAGAGAAATAAAAGCCTCTTCTCAAAGAAACAAGTTGGAGTGATAGGTATGATCACTAAAATATTAAAATCAATTACTTAAGAGTAAGGTGGCAGCTGGAACAGGAGAGCAGAACCATTTTTTTCTGCAGTGAAAGAACATAGCTAGGATTGGGAGCCCTGCAGACCCTCGGAGCACTGAAGATGGTGTGGGCATTGCCAAGATTGCAACACTGGGTCTACTTACTTAGCTGTTAGGATTTTGTGATCCACATCATCCAGGGAAGAGCTGTGGGCCACGTGGAAGGTGCCAAAGAGTGTATTTCTCTTCTTTTTTATCTTCTCAGCCTGTAAAGATGAGGCCCCCAGCTTAAAGGAGAGTAAGGATTAGATGTTGGAGGCAGTGAGAAAGGTCTTCCTATGACTAACTTACACCTTCCTCCTAGTACAGTTTAGGCTGCTCAAGGAAAGGGGAAAGCGGAAACAGAAAACAAGGGGGTGAAAAGAAAGGAAATCAAAGAAGTAAAGGGGTCCCCTGACAGGACTTTAGTTCCAGGAGGCTCTCTCTGCCTATGGCAGTCTGGGTTTGGCAGTCTCCAAATAGCAGAACTTTCCCTGCATGCCTCCACTGACTTAACTTTGTGAAGTGATAACTGGAAGTACCCCTACACTCCCAAATTCCCTCCTCTAAAAACTTAAGGATCATCAGGAGCTGCACATTTAGGAAAAGAAACAACCCAACACCAGGGATAATGTCTAAGCACTTGAGGTGCCCACTGGGAAGGACAAAGAGGCAGGGAGAAGAGTGAAGGGTAGCTAAAAAAAGGAGGCTAATGAAGACAAAGGAGGGAAGAAGAAAGATGGTATCAAGAGGGCAGGTCTCACCCCCTCCTTGGCCACCAGCAGCTGCTTCTCAGCATTTTGCTTCTTGATGTTATAGTACTGCACCTCCACCTCATGTGTCAGCTGCAGCCACTTCTGAAGGGCTTCCGGAGCATACCATGAGCTGTGTGACTCCAGCTCCTTCTCCGCTTTCCTCAAGGCCTCTCGAACCTGTGCAGCCAAAAGGATGTGAGTCCACTTACTATGACTTTCTCCAACACTTGTGTATGATGCTTCACAATTCAGAGTTCTTATCTGCCGTGTCATGTGAGCTTTACAACTTTCTCAGGAGGGAGAAAGTTCAAGAATTATTCTCCATGGTTTACATATGAGGAAAAGTAACCTAATTCAAGGTCATTAGTATCATTAGCAGTATACACAGTCAATAGTATCAACTAGACCTCAAATTGTTATCTTTCTGCTCCCAGGCTAGGGCTCTTTTTCCCATCACATCAGTTGACTCTCCTGACTCATCAATTGACTCATCAATCTTCCCTGCTCTCTTGAGGTACAGAACAGCTCAGTGAATCTTCTTTTTGAGACTTAAGAGTTTTGTGCTTTTACTACAAGACATCACAAGATGAAAGAAAAAAATACCAACCAACCCAAACCAAAAATCACATTTGGCTGGGAGTCTGAAAAATTGTTTATTGTTTATGGTCACTAGTCTGTCACTGATGATACAGTGTAATGTATCAGACTGCTAACCAGAGGGCAGTGATTAAATCCACCAGCCTCTCCACAGGAGAAAGATGGAAGTCACTTCCTATAAAGACTTAACACCATGGAAACCTTATGGAGGGCTGCTGTGAGTTGGAAATAACAGCAGTAGGTTTGGGTCTGTTACTTAACTGGCTATATGATTCTATGCTTTCTATAGCAGGCCTGTGTGTGGTGTTAGACTTTCTCCCAGGCAAATCAAAACTGTAAGTGAAGGGATTATGTATCACAGGAGAAAGTGAGCTCCCAATATGAGAGGTCTATGAAGAACTCATGTCAGAGAGACCTTAGAATGACTGCTATTCCAGAGGGGACTGGCTTAGATGTTCTCCAAAGTTTCTAGTGCAGAGACTCTATCCTGTAATTTTCTCACGGAAAATGGCAGGTAGGCTTTGAAAGACACTCCCGACAAAGAAGAGAGAAAAAGAGCATGTGTGCTTCTAACATGAGCCGTGACTACAGGAAATGCGAAGACCAATGTGTACACAGAAATCTCATTGAATTTTCTGCAAGGAACACACAATGAAGCAGTCACAGAACACTCAGTATGAGAGATCTAAGTATATGCAGACATTATAGATGGATTCCTTGCTATCACACAGAGATTTTCTTAATAAGTGATCCCTCTACCCCCACTGATTTAAAGATAAGTATTATCATCTGACATCTACTTCCCTGTAGGACACAGAAGGTCACTGCAGAAGAACAATTCTGCTTCAACATAACTGTGGAAAGCTGTACAAATTATGACTTTTCAAAGATAAAGACCAATAGAAGCAACAGGATTAGATGAGCAGTTCATTAAGTGTGACCCAGGAACCCATAGGTGTCCTAAGAATTTAAAAGTATCTGTGAGGTCAAAACTAATTTATTATTTTAAAAAGTGCTAAAAGAAATTAAAGAAAACTTTTTTTTAAAAAAAGGAAGAGGTTTTTGTGTGAACAGAGCAAAGGAGCACTATATAGTTTAAAATGAAGAGAGGTGTGTGTCAGGGTGGTTTCTCCATACGTATTCAATCTGTATGCTGAACAAATCACTTGAGAAGAATTTGGCATCAGGACTGGAGGAAAGACTTATCAACAACCTGCATTATGCAGCTGACATAATCTTGCTTGCTTAAAGTGAGGAGAACTTGAAATGCTTGTTGCAGAAGAATAAAGACTTCAGTATGTATTACATCTCAATGCCAAAAAAACAAAATTCTCACCACTGGACCAATAGGAACATTGGGATAGATGGAGAAAAGACTGAAATTGTCAAGTGACATCATCTTACTTGGATCCACAATCAATACTCTTGGTACTAGGAGTCAGGAGCTCAGAAGACATACTGCATAGGAAAATATGCTGTCAGGAACCATTCCAAATTACTGAGGAGTAATGAAGTCAGTTTGAGGACTAACGTACACCTGATTTAGGCCATGGTCTTTCCAGTCACTTGCTATATATCTGAGAGGTGGACAATGAAGAAGGATGACAGAATAAAAATTGGTACCTTTGAGCCATAATGTTGGAGAAGAGTACTGAACATCCTATAAACTGCCAAAAAACCCAACTATATCTTGGAGAAAGTACAGCCAGAGTGGTGTTTGGATACAAAGCTTTATCTCTCAAAAGCAGTGGGCATGTTGCTAGAAGACGCTACACTTTGGAGAAGGACATCATGGTTGGAAAAGTTGAGGGTTAGTGAGAGAGGAAGATACTCAACTAGATGGACTGACACAGTCTGAAGCAATGGGCTCAAATATGTTAAAAATTATGGGGATGGCACAAGATAGGATAGGGTTCAGATTTTGTTTGTAGGGTCGCTATGAGTCATATTTGACTCAGCAGCACCTAACAACAACAAGGCAAAAAATTTAAAGAGGATCTACGCTTCACAACATACAGCTAAACAAATTAAAAATTTATTTAAGTCCTAAATGTGCCAACTAAAATCCTAACATTCGTAGAAGAAAATGCATGGACAATACTGTTGAGCCTAACTTTGAACACAATTACTAATAATATAAAAACCACTAACAGCAAAATACAAAATAAATAAATGAGATCTTTTTAAAAAATGAAAAATTTTTTCATTAAAATAAGACTTTTCACACACCCCTGCAGCTTACAGGCCAACCTCTGGATACTAAGTTCTTTTCCAACAGAACTGCAAAAAAAGGTGTTTAAGTCGAAATAGAACTTTCTAAGTGGTACTGAAAGCCAGCAGAAGGGCCAGCTTTCTTGTCCTAAGAAACCATCCTAACCTGTGTCAGTTAACAAGATGCTTTAAAAAAAATAGACTAAAACCAACAACAAATGCTGGTGAGGTTGTGGAGAAACTAGAACCCTTATTCACTGTTGGCGGGAATGTAAAATGGTGCAACCACTCTGGAAGGCAGGATGGCACTTTCTCAAAAAGTTGGAAATAGATAATACTATTTGCACCAACAATCCCACTACTGGGAATATACCCTAAAGAAACCAGAACTTAGAAACCCAAGTTCTTTATAAACCATCACTAAAATAAAAAAGAAGATCCCATTCATCAATGTTAGAAGGTCTTATTCATATATCTTATTCTCTTCTGATCGTGCAGAAAATGATCTTAAAATACTGTCCTGTCTGTCATTGTGATCTATGTTCTACTTTTATTTCTTAAATTTCTTAATCTTAAGAAGTTTGATTAATGTAAGATGGCCCTAAAAAACATCATTATGTATATGACTCATTATGTATACTGACAAATTCAAGATTCTGACCCTTAGGTTAGAGTCTAAACTCTTAGATCATTCTATTTGAATAAATTCAATGTTGGGGGGGGGGGGGAAACCATAACCACCACCCAAGCAAATATAAGCACACCCATGTTTATTGCTGCTTTGTTCACAATAGCAAAGAGTTGGAAACAACCCAAGTGCCCAACAACAAACGAATGGCTAAAGAAACTGTGGTATAGTCACACAATGGAATATTATGCAGCACTGAAAAACAAAGAACTCATGAAATATTATACAAAATGGGTGACCATGGAGGATATTATGCTGAGTGAAATAGTTCAGTCACAAAAAGACCAATATTACAAAATGCCACTATTACAAAACAGGACTGACATGGGGGTTTGGGGGGAACTAAGAAAAGGGGACAAATAATGTACATGACACTGAAACAGATGAGGGAGAGAACTGTATAAAAGGAATATATGATTAGGCATTATTGGTATGACAAGAGTTCAGAATAAGAGCTGCATAGTAAAGCAGTCAGGGGGCGGGGTGGGGGTAGGGGAACGATTGTATAACAATGAAAGAACTTTTCTTTCCAAAGAAAAAAGTGAACTAGGGGGAAAGCAGGCAAGGAGGAAAATGTGCAACAATGAATACATGGAAATCCAAGTTCTTTATAAACTTTCATTAAAATATCAATAAAAAATTTAAAAAGAATAAAATAAAGATAAATTACTGTTCAATTTAAAAAAAAAGATGTTTGCAAAACAGTGAAGGGACAAGTTACTGACTGAGGAATATCTTTGGAAATCATAATTATATGCCCGATAAGAATCTATTATATGGGGGTGTGTGTGTGTGTATATACACCTACATATATAAAAGTTTGACTGCTTAACAACAAAATACAACTAAAAAATAACATAGCAAAGGATTTGCATAGACATTTTACAAAGGAAGATATTCAAATGGCCACCAAATACTTGGGGAAAATGACCACTATCATTAACAATCAGAGAGTTGCAAATCAAAACCACAATGAGACACCATGATTCCCACTAGGATGACTTAAGGGGAAAAACCAAAAAACAAATGTCAGAGAAGATGTGAGGAAATCAGAGCCCATATTCCATAGCTAGTGAGAAATGGAAAAGGGCACAGCCATTACAGTAAACAGTGGGCAGTTCTTCAAGAAACTAAAAGCAGGATTAACATATAACCAGCAACTCTACTCTTAAGTAGGGTTAAAAGCAAAGACGCAAACAGACATTTGTACATTATGTTCATTACAGTGTCATGAACAGTAGCCAAAAGGTAGACACAATCTAAATGTTCATCAGCAGATGGATGGATAAATTAAACATGGTACATAAATACAGTGGAATCTTACTTGGCCGGTAAGAGAAATGAAGTGTTGATACATATTACAACTTGAAGAGATTATGCTGAGTTAATAATAAGCCAATCATAGGGCCATTATTATCTGATCTCACTCACATAAAAATAACAGGAACAGGCAAATATAGAGAGACCAACGTTTATTCATGGTTACCAGTGGCAGGAGGGAGGGAGGAAATGGAAGGTTACTCTTCCTAGAATACTAAGTTTTCATTTATAGTGATGGAAAATTTAATTAACAGTAGGGCTGCAGAGTCAATTAATGCAATTGCTGTCAAGAAGTTGTACATTTCTATGATAGATATTTTATGTAGTTGTTGTGTATTGTAGAATCAGAACCGACCCATTG